GAAACACATGATTAAAAAATGGTAAAAGAAATGATAAATACAATCATAATCAAAATGATAAAAATGAAAAATATTTTAAAGATTTCCAATGTGTAGCTGGCTCGATTCTTCATAACTGTAGTAAACTTTATATTGAAATAATATGGGGAAAACCCTTGAAATTTGTGAAAACAATTGCTGGCAAATAGTTTCTTTTAATTTCAGGAAACTTACCAAGAGCATGAATGGGTGAAAGGGAATTACCCATTAAATCAAGCTTAAACTTGGATGATCTATGACCCATGATCTAGATCCTGAGACCCCAATTCGATTGCAAAAGTTTCATAGCAGGTTTTTACCAATTGAAACCGTTGATGCGCTCAGGGCGGAACTGGCTCTGGAGGAGCGACGGCACCAGTTTGCGCTTGGGTGGTCCCAGTACCAGATAGTAACCGGGGCCAGGTGTTTACCTGCGTATTTAACAAACCAAAATTGTGATTTCACATGATTTGACCACTGAATAATGGAGAATTTGTTTGTAATGGATATTTGGTGCATCGGCACCCAGGGATTCAGGACTCAGTGGCTAGGCTGATGAACCATGCGCAAAAACAATATATATCCATGTTCGGATCGCAGACCAGCAGCCTGACTGGTGAACTGTTGGCTGAGATGGGGAGGCCACTTGAAGATCTTAATAGATGAATGGTGTGGAAGAAAAAAAAAGTCATTCGTGGTACATGCGTCCGGACTTGAGATTATTGTTTAGCATCTGGACTAAAGGACTGGTGATGATTTTTGCATGGTTGCAAGTCGTTCCTAAAGCAGACATGTTCATATTGTTTGGCAACGTTTGTCATCACTATGTCACTATGAATGCAGGCGGACTTCGTGTTAGTTTGCCCAGGTAGCATATCCAAGTAGTAGTAGTAGTAGTAGTAGTAGTAGCAGTAGTAGTAGAAGTAGTAGTAGTAGTAGTAGTGGTAGTGGTAGTGGTAGTAGTAGTAGTAGTCGTCGTCGTCGTAGTAGTAGTTGTTGTTGTTGTTGCAGTCGTGGTAGTAGTAGTAGTAGCAGCAGCAGTAGTAGCAGTAGCAGTAGCAGCAGCAGTAGTAGCAGCAGCAGCAGTAGTAGCAGTAGTAGTAGTGGTAGCGGTAGTAGTACTGGTATTAGTACTAGTAGTAGTACTAGTACTAGGACTACTACCAGTACTAGTACTAGGACTAGGACTATAGTATTAGGGGGGGGATGGGGGGGGCGACCTTGATTTAGACGAAGCAAAAATTCGCAGCAAGAGAACAAAGGAACAAGCACAAGCCAAGAACAGAAACAAGAATAAGACCTTCCAATCAGAAATGCCGGCAGGCCGGCGGATTTAAACGATAGATAGACTAGATACCAGATAGATCCAGGTAGTGCCCGCCACACGCCAGGGCGGAAGTTTCGAAGAAAAATCCAGCAACGATAGGGAGAAGATTGCCTATTGGAAAGTTTTTGACATGCAGAAGTGCAGAAGCAACGAAGTGTTGAAGTTGCGAGATGCACGCACTAACGAGCAAATGACTGTTGAGATGGCAATGAAATGACATGAAAGAATCCATGCACAGCTGACTCAGCGAACTAAATAAATCAATGAATCAGTGAATCAACGAATCAAAATGAAACAATGAATAACCAACGAATCAAAGCACCAATGAATCCGTGAATAAACGAATGAAGGAATGAATGAAATGAAGGGTGGGTGGATGGGTGGATGGGTGGATGGATGATGGATGATGGATGAGTGAGCTACTTTTTCTTCCTTGAGCTGCAGTTCTTCACTGAGCAGCCCCTTCGCTGAGGCACCTCTTCTCCCACTGCTACTTCTTCTCTGAGCAGCCACTTATCTGGGCTACTTCTGCTTTGAGCTGCATCCTTCTGTAGGTTCTGCAACCGGATTCTTCGCGTCGCGCAGCTGGTACAATCCGTTTAGCAACCTCGTAGCACTACGGTCAAGAACTGCAGCTGTTGCAATGCGTATAGCAACCACCAGCTGCAACCCCGCTTGCCAGGAGCGTCGCAGCATCACTCATGCTTTGCTGCGCGCAGCCGTGCCAGTGCGTTTTGTCACAGCTGGTTGCAGACCCGCATAGCAGGAGCATCGCACCAAATCGATCCAAATCGACCAAGGTTCGGGTAGCGCTGACAACGGTTTTGACCACACAAATCCGCGGCTGCTCCAAACGCCTCAGTTTTTAACGGTGTCTATATACCTATATAGGCCTGCCGGCTGGGCAAAATTTCTTCCGCCAGCCCAGGCTAAAGAAATTATTGTCGCTTCTGAGATTTCTGCCGTCTCAGCCAAAAACTTCCGTTTCAACTGTTTTGCGGGATTCTTGCACGGTCAGCTGCCATTCTTGCATTTTTCGCACCTTTCTGATATTCACACACCCTGGAGAACATTGGCAGATATGTAGCATGTCAAAGCCCAAATATGCATTGAAAACAACCCAAATAATTTATGCCGTTTGGTTGGAAATTGACGCCGTTTGGTTGGGAACTTATGGCGTTTCAGTTTCTCACTTTTTCGGTGGAGGGTTTTCAAGGTGGACACATGAGTTATGCGTTCTTCATGCGGCGAAAGGCTCTTCCACACCTGTGGAATTGACAGAATCCCATTCCACTCAAAACATCAAAATTTGCTGGAACCATCCAAAATCCAAAAACTTCCGTCTCATCAAAAAAGCTCCGTTTGAGGGTTGGGCCCTCCAAAAGTTAACTTTTCCACATTTTTCCACCAAACATGATTATTGCTGCCTCGGTTGTTCTAGGTATGTGAAACCGAGCTCTCGCCGCAGTCCTGTGCACGTTTCGCCGACCTCATGTTCCAAAGTGCTCCGGCGTCGTCTTTTTTTTTACATTTCGAAGTGCAAATCAAGCTCTCAACAGTTCTGTGCACTTTTTGCCAACAACTTTCCCAGATCGAGCCGCGGAACTGCGGAAACAGAGACCTATCCTTCGGCGACCCCAGGAGCCACATTACCCAAAAAAACGCAGGGTTTTGCACCCGAGAGTGGTTTCACCTGTGAATTTACGCGCTTCCGAACGGTTACACTTCCCAACTACTTGATAATGGGTGGTTGACATGATGGTGTGGTTGAACTGATGATGTGGCTGACATGAGTGGAAATGCTAACCATGACAACCGTCCGTAACTCGGAAGTTTTCTAACTAAATTTCCTTTGATGATACCGATATCTGTACATGTCTTTGGGCAAGTACAAGGAAGTCACCAACGTTGTTGGTGAGCGGAGTCATCCCACAGATTGCCATTTTGAATTCTGTGGTGCAGCAGGGTGTTCTAATATATTATATATTTATGTTCTTAGGGCACAAGTACAGAATTGTATAGCCTGTTAGTTTTGTCAGCATGATTTTACATATATTTTGTTACATGTATATTCACGGTCGCTTCGCGACGAAAACCGCCCGCGTCTAAGGAGTTCGTCGTCTGAAGTTTGGCCATATTGAACGTTTTTTTAGCACTTATTGGGCACTTTTTAGCTCCGTATGAGGCTATGTTGGCCCCATATGAGGGTATGTTGGCCCCATTTGAGGCTATGTTGGCCCCATGTGAGCCTATCTTAGGCCCAACAATGTTGGGCCTATCTTGACCCATTTTTGGCTTATATTGGCCCAGATCAAGAGCAAAAATGCCCCCCCCCCAACTAAGGCTTATTAGCTATAATGCAATTGCTAACGGTTCACGCAGGCACACAAAAAACGCCTCGGCACCTTCGGTGCGGGCGGATTTATAGAGTAATGGTTGTTTTCACTGGTTAGTAGTTCTTAGATATTCTGGAGATATTTTTGGATATTTACGTTGATAGCATGTTTGTCATTTTCCATAGCTGGTTTTTACCAATTGAAACCGTTGATGCGATCAGGGCGGAACTGGCTCTGGAGGAGTGACGGCACCAGTCTGCGCTTGTGTGGTCCCAGTACCAGATAGTAACTGGGGTTGGTTTCCCCAGCTGTTCCCCTGGTTATTCAACAAACCAAAATGGTGATTTCACATGATTTGACCACTGAATAATGGAGAACTTGTTGGTAATGGATATTTGATGTTAGAGTCGCCACCCAGGGACACAGGACTCATTGGCTAGGCTGACGAACCATGCGCAAAAACAATATCCATGTTCGGATCGCAGACCAGCAGCCTGACTGGTGAACTGTTGGCTGAGATGGGGAGGCCACTTGAAGATCTCAATATATGAATGGTATGGAAGAAAAACATTGCCATTCGTGGTACATGTGTCCGGACTTGAAATTATTGGTTAGCATCCGGACTAAAGGACTGGTGATGATTTTTGCATGGTTGCAAGTCGTTCCTAAATTAGACATGTTCATATTGTTTGGCAACGTTTGTCATCACTATGCCACTATATGAATGCAGGCGGAATTCGGGTTAGTTTGCCCAGGTAGCATATCCAAGAAGGGGCAGAGGTCATCGCACCAAGTCATCAATTGAGATGCCCCTTGAGGTGGTTCAATGAACTTTGAGCGTCCAACTTGTCCAATTCATTTTGGTCTACCACAAGTAGCTGACCTGATGGCACAGAGTCGAAATATGCCAAAATCGATCTTCCATTAAGATGTTGGGAAGGCTGATTTGCAACTCTCGGGGGATGGATCCTCAAAAATGTTGTGGAGAACCATGGAATGCCTGATACGTTTTTCATACTAGAAGTTCAAAGGCCAATAATCCAAACGAGAGAAAAAACATAAAGATTCCAAATCTGTACCAATCAGCCCCCTCAGAACCAACCGCATCTGATCCCCCTTGTGACCCCAAGCCCCAAGTCGAAATCTCCTAGGCTGTGGTTCAGGAGGGTAGTGAGTTACTATAATTTGCCCAGAATGATGTGTGATGTAGGTCTTGATTCAAAAACCAAATATTGCTGTCGAATCTGACATACTTTAATTCCCGTGAAATTGAACACAGCACCTACGGCTCAGCAGTCTCAAGGTTTTAGTCTTAAATCATGGCGACAGTGCTCACTGCGTCGTTGTCATCAAACAGATCCGGCAATGGCGGCATCTCTGTAGCAATCATGACGTCTTTCAGTGGCAAAGGTGTGTGTAGCTTCCAGCTGCCTGGTGGAACGTTGGGAGATCTCCAGAAAGTCCTTTGTGATCCGCGGGGACCAATGTTCTGGTATTATCCTTGGTCTCGCCTCCTTTTCTACACAGAAGACGAGCCATTGAGGCCATTGGACATGAACCTGCAGCTGGATGCTTTTGACTCGCTTGTGATCAAGCGTGGCGATATGGAAGCATGTCTTGAGAGGTATCCACACATTGGCAAATTCCTGGATGCTATGCGCGGCAATAAATTTGACCCGGGGACAGCACATCTTGAGGGGACATGGACAGCAAGATCAGCACCTGCAGTTCCTGCTGATGAAGCTGAAGCCATGGTTCATGAAGTTCTGAGTGGATGGCCCATCCATGCAGACAGTGAACTCCATTTTGTTCAGATCTTTGGGGAGCTGACTGCTTTGGGCGAGACATGGAATATGCTCCACTTAGGACTGCTACAAAATTATGATGGGCTCAGGAGGTTCAAGCACTGTGTTTCCAATCATTGGCTGGAGGTTGCTCGTTTTGCAGCCACTTCGGTGATTACAGAAGCACCACCCATCCTGCTCCTCAAGAGAGGGAACAGTGACCTCAGTGGTTGCGTGATTGGTTGTGCTGTCATTGGCGATGCCTTTCCGGACAACTTTGATGCCGAATTGACACAGTGTGGGTATTTGGATGTGTCTCCAAATGTTCATTGGAGAAACGTGTCACATGTTTTGGTGTCACTGGACTGGAACCCACAAGAAGGCTTGGCAACCTTGGAACATCTCCTGACCAAGATTAAACAGGAGCCGTGTGAGTTTGCGGCGCTCGCACACCCTGAGGTCTCTAAGATGGTCCACGTGCAGCTGCGCTTATCATTTTGCGGAGTTGCAGAAGTCAAAGGGCCTATCAATGAGACATGCGTCAAGATACTCGCGGAGCTGCTTGGCTACAAGCTGAAGACCGTGAAGTTTCAGAGTGTACAAGAACTGCAGATAGAGATCAGCGATTTCGAAGCCAAGGCGAATTACCGTGGAACGTTGGTACTTGTGACAGATGTTCCAGCTTCCGCAGGTAAAATCTTGCGTGGGCCACATCGCATGCTCCTTTGCTACAGTGCTGAGTAAAAGGCAGCATAGGGCATGTCCTTTGTTTATAAAGATGTTAAAGCTGGAAAGCCAAGACCGAGTCAGTGCAAAATCGCGGTTCGTATAAATTGACATACCTTCGTGATCCGAATCCTGATCATTGCCATGCAGGAGTTATTATCACCTTCACCCCAAGCAGCACCGTTTATCACCATGCCATCCACCAGGATCATCCCAGCAACTGGAACCAGCCTACCCTGGTGATATGTGTGAAACATTGTGAAACCATGTGAAACATTGGAAAAGCTACTGAGAAAACCACTTCATGAACATTGGAATCATTGGACTTTCCACACTTTCCACGTTGGTTTATGAATCAGTGATCAGGCTATTTCACAAGTATTCAAACTGGCCTCGTTGGTTTGGCGTTATATTTGATCATACATTAAAGATCATCAATGAAAGGGTCCTCTTTCTCTTTGTGTACACTTTGACCGCTCTTTTTGAGCCGTAGATGGTGCAAACGTTTGGATGCAGTCATAGTGCTCTGCTGTTTGCAAAATTCCGAGTCAAAGGAGCTTTCCTTTGAATGAACATGCAGAGTTGCCTGTATACACCGCCCCGCTAACTTCGAAGATTTGGGGATTGAGTCTAAGATTTGGGGAGGTGAGACTGTGAATGTGCTGAGCAGAAACAAGGCCGCAATTGGAAGACGTTGGGTTGGATCGTGCTTGTTTAGCACCGGTCGACATCTTGGCCGGGCATCTTGGCTCAGAAACCAAGAGGAAAGTCTGGCATCGCTATCCGTTAGGCAGGACGTGGGACCAGTTTGGAAACCATCTCATTCTCACTCTCACCCTGTCAGAAAAAAAACCATTGATAGTCCCTGCGATGATGCTCCCCAAACTTAAGCTGCTGAGCCACCAAAAAATAGGGGTTTTGATGGTACAGGCGTTTTGGGCCTCCGCATGTACCTCAACTCGGTACTGGACTCCATCGGCACTGAGAATGGGAGCCGGGGGTGGGTGGCGGCTGTCATGGGGGCATTTGGGTTGTTGGGATTCCTTAACGTGATGATTGTTGATATTACATTATAATTAGTTGGGATGAATTGGGTATATTTGAGTATTGGGATGTATTGGGTGATTTACCATTGACATATTGTGAACCCCATACCATGTACTGGAATCTTACAAGTTTGCTGGAAGTTTGGGTGGTTCAAGACCTTCAGAAAGCGGCTAGCATACTGCTAGCATTGATTTGAGATCTTCAGTTGCCAACAGCTCCGACCCTCAAATTCACCATCCCCAGAGGTCCTTAGCAGTCCAATTCCCAAGGAGCTTTACCGCGGAGGACATCTATAGGCCTCGAGCAGACCCATGACCACAACACGCCTTAAATCGCTGGATCAAGATCATGTTGAGCATATTGGTCTGGTGATATTTGGATATCTTTGGTGTGTGTTTTTTTTGATGGTTTCAAAGATGGTTAGATGTTTACATACCGTTTTCCCTTTCTTTTGAAATTATGACGCGCGGCCGTGGCAATGCAATCCCTTCATGCAAAGGGCTTGCACCTTTGCGCTGCCGCCGGAGGCTAAACGAGGCGATCTTCAATCTGCCTGAAGAGTGACCATAGATGTCCTTTTCCCATTGGTTGGTTGATTAATAGAGGGGTTTGCCTACCCCTTTAACAACAGGTAAATGATGAAAATGATGATAGATGGTATACCAAACCGGCCCCTCTATTTTTACCAAAAGGACATTATTGAGAGTGACAGACCAAATTTTAAGGCCCAAAACTTTTGGCAAGATTTGATCGGTTTTGAATCATGAGATGTACTGAGGTATAGCATTGTATAGCGGATAGATGCAGACAGACAACACCGCGTTTCGTATTTCGAGACAGGTGAGGAGCATGCGAGTGTTAAATTGCCCTGCGCCAGAAACACCAGACATGTTGAGCTATGTTTGTTAATTTATAAAGCCCATTACCCTCTGGTAAACATACAAAAAGCTATGGTGTACCTATTTAAACATGGAAAATTTCCATAGCGTAAACTGTCAGTTTAGTGGTACTGTAACTATAAAAGTTCCATATACCCTAGTGAAATTGGAGTTATAATCCAACTTTGCTACCGTTTGGGGGCCATACTTTGGAGTCTCTAAAGATGCGCATTTTTGTTACCACCATCCTCTTGCGGCTTTCCTACAATGGAGATACCCCAAAATGGATGGTTTAAGAATGGAACATCCTAGTAAAATGGATGATTTAGGGGTACCCCATATTTTTGGAAACCTTCATATTATATGTATAAAATCGGAACGTCTTAACAAATATGGTACTGTAAATTGTCATAGACCTTTCAGACTAAGAAGGAACTTATCATTTATCGTGACAGTGATATATATATATATAAGCGATCCAAGTTTATCCTGACATTATTTCTTATAAATGTCCCAATGAATAATGGCTATATTACCTCAGTTTTCCAGGTACTGGGAGGGTCTAGGTACTATGATGGATTAGCCTCCTGTAAGCATAGAAAAACATGTGGAAAACCCACCATGAAAGTAGATACTTTTCCAAATGGGAAGCTATGGCTATGGGTTTTCCACATCTATGCAAACGGGTACCCCGGGGCTATTTCATATCCAAGATTGCCATTCAATCATCATCAAATCACAGTTAAATCACCATTACCATCTCCATTGTTTGCAGGTGAAACCGATTCAACTATACCCATTCCTAGGGTAAATCCCATTAAACCATCTCTAAAAGCCATCAATTTACACCTTGGAAGTTCCCACCTCGGCTCTTCGGCTCTTCAGGACACACTGGATGAGGAGACAACTGGCTTGCTCTTCAAGGCGCCCCCTGAACTTTGAGGAAGATGCGGAGCTGCGGCCTCTAACATTGGCAAAGGTTCAGCGAGTGTCCAATGGACTTCAATGGACTGTACATACAAGTAGAACCAACCAATTCTCGAAGTAGCCCGCCAAATACAAATGGATGAATATATAATATCAATATTACTATTAATCCTTTCTCCCTAATCTGAAATATAACCCCTAGAAATTCGTATAAGTTGGATCGACACACATTTTTTGGGGTTCAATCCGCACGACAACGCTACAGGCCGTGCAAAAGATCAAAAAGGCCTACTCAGCCGGTAAGTCGGGGTCCTGAGATGTTCGTTACGAAGACCTGTGAGATGTGATTGACCTGTGAGTAGTTGAAGCTTTCAGATTTTGTGATGCTTTTTGATGGACTCCCAGAGTGTATTTTTGGGGAAACATTTTTGGGAAATGTCCATTTCGCGGGTGAAAGCCATGGATGATCATGCCCCGGAGAAAGGGAGAATCTACAACAGCACCCGTTTTTTGATTGGCGAAAACGACTGTGTTTCCTGTAGATTTTTCCCAACAAGACAAATCCACGAATGATGGAAAGCTGAAGCCATCATCTTAGAATTCTGAAACTGCGAACGAAGTTGTGGTGAACGTAGAACTTGATCTAATGATAATGATGAGGAATGTTATGAAATTTGGAGTGGCATAGCAATAAACTTGGGCCACAGAATCATCAGTTTCAATCCCGTCAACAACCCCTTCCAGCCACAATGCCATTGATTTCTGGGTCACGCCAGGGTTTTTGGCCATATCCTGGAAATGAGTGGGGAATTCAAAGGAATCCCATTGATATCTCATTGATTTGGATGCTAAAACCATAGGAGAAAAATATACAGGGTTCCTAGTCTACATAGACTCAGATAACTCTGTGACTTACATGAGTGACGACCCCCTCGCTGGTTGGGTCGCGCAATGCGACCAAGGTGCGACAAAGATCCCAACTTCTACTACGACTACGTAGCTCTTCTCTCCACCATGTGCTGCACCTCAAAAATTGGGATTGAGATGATGGGGTTGTGGCCGGAGAGGATTGACCCCGGGCTGTTCCAAGTTCTCTCTGATTCTCTCTGTGTTCTCGACTCAAAGACAGGGGTGATTTTTTGGCCGCTACTCATTCGAAGATATTGGAAGTGTCATGGTGTGGATCGCCCTTTGTCTTGAGGCAGAATCAGCATTTCTTTAGCCAAAAGCAGACGAAGCTGCTGTTGGATTGGCTCCACGAGGTGTGTCGTACCAGTTTGTGCTCCACGGCCTGGGGTCCCTGTATCTCTGGACACACATCTATATAGTCTATATGTTATACATGTTACATCATGTTACATGTTTATAAGTGTTTATACATTGTGTCATCCTTTACGGCATTAACAAAAATGCATGGATTGAGACTGAAAAATGGGGTGAGGGGATCTTCAAGTTCAAATGATCTCAAGCAACAAGTGGAAATTCATGTTTTTTTCAATGACATTCACATGATTTCAGGGATTTCCATATGATTTCATCATGTTTTCCCCCAGGAAAATGAGAAAAATCACCATCCTCCGGCCGTTGGCAGGTGGTCAAGGCCCCGTCCGGAGAGGCAGGTCCGGGTAAACACCTCGAGTTTCAGATTGAACCAGGGAAAAACCAAGTCGTTGATCATAATGTATCATAAAAACATAAAATGATTAAGAAACCATGAGCTACAGATATAAATTATTATGATAATTGATACATTGTATGTATCATAACCCTTGGTGAAATTGGAGTTGGGACACATCACTTTGATGGTTTCTGGGATCCAGAACTGACCTTTGTCATGGTTTGGGGGTGGTATTCCTATATTGTTTGGACCTTGAATGCCTAGAATGATGATAGAGCCGTATAGAAATACACATCCATAGAACCCGACTGAATGACCTCATTCATGACCCTTCTGAATGCGACCCATTATTAAATCGACGGCGACCCGACTTTTTACGCATGCGAAATAGGGGTCATATTTCAGATGCGGGAGATGTCTTGCAACATTCGGCACAGCCTCAGGACAAGAATGCCACAGCCTCCAAGGACGAAGTATCGGATACGGCCTTGACTCAAAACATTGTTTGACATTCAGGTACCATTTCCAAACCTTCTAGAGGAATTATACTGATCGCAAAAATAACACTCATCCCTTGATTTAATATATACAGATCTACATAGTAATAAACCATCCCCAATCCAACCCCAAATGGTTAGGATTTCAACCCCAACGTTGGTGGTGTGATCATCATCGCGAGGACATTGCCAGACTTGAGGCCGAGAACGCTCGGATGCTGAAAGAGATCGAGCAGATGCGGGTACCGCTGGGTCCGGTTGGCTTTGAATACTGCACATTAACTTGGCGTGGAAAGCAACACACTCGCTAGAAATTTTGATATGGAATCACAAAATGATATAAACTGGAAGATAATGTTCCCATATAATTAGTGGACATGGGGCTCTACCAAGATGGTAAAGCTTCACATTTCTCAGAAAGACTAAGCAAGCCGTGGGAGGCGAAGCACGCGACACCGCAGATTTATGGCATTTCCGGGTTGAATTGCAAGCATAGAATCCGTGAGTATGTGCACTATAGTTAGTTAGACTTTCCCATGGATTTTTTTCCACTTTTGACGACACAACTACCCTCCAAACAACGAGATTCTTCATGAGTTTCCTGCGGGGACGTGGTGGATTTCCACTCCCTCGATATCTGCTTCGGCCCCGAGATTTGTAGGAGCTGACTTCTGCCATCTCGGTCTTGCAGGTGAGGGTTCAGGGTAGCTGGAGCTGTTGGCACCTTTTTTTGATGCGGAAAGATGGGGATGTCAATGATATGGTATCAAGCATGAATCAAACATGGTGATTTAACCGATTTTAACCACAACAGAAGTAGTACCCATGTTGATTATTTGTCAACAAAAATGGAGATACTAGGAGAAAGAAAGGGAGAAGGCTGGAAAATCCCTCCGCGTAATTGATGTTAAGTGAAACTTGAGATTTTCCACTGCCGTGCGACATTCTCCAAGAGGATTTCCAGGGTTGAGTTCTTTGGTCGTGTTGGAGCTAATAAGTGGCCTAGGGGTGCAGGAGTTTTCATTGTTGGTATGATTTAACTCGTGGCTGGATGTGTGTTCTGTTCTTTCAATCAGTTGAATCCACCAGAAATCAATATCGGCAGGATTGACACCAGCCAAATGAATGACACCTGTTTCCGACGATCATGACAGCCGCAAGAGGTAACTGGTTATAACATCCCCATGACTTGCGAGCACGTGATCGCCACTAGCTGAACTTCACCTGTTTGTTGTTTGATACCATCCGACTCTGGCATTATACTTGCTGGACTCCCCCCAGCTCTTGACTCGTTGATACCATCATATTTTATTGATCAAACAAGAACAATCAAAAACAACTCATACCTACATGGTCATATGATTATTATGTCACTTTTATAATTGGTTGATATCCCCATGTTGTCATGAAAAAGACCTGAATGTCCATGGTTGAACAAGCCTGTTCAACAAGCAGATAGAATAGAAATAAGCATCCCAAACATCCACCTTTGGCTTGATCTCCTGTTTCTGTTGGCTTGATGGATCCATGTTTAGGACATCTGGTAACATAGCTGTGGAAAATCCAAAATTTTCTCATCGAATCATCTGTAAATGGACAATTAATAAGTTGCCATTTGAGAAGTTACCTGGCAGAATATATATATATATATATATATAAATATATTATCAGATATCAGAGGCCTATGTGAGACTAAATTTCAGAGGATGCCCCGTGGGCCGTATGGTGGTAAATGTGGTACTAACGTACCTCCATTTTAGAGTCATGAATCAATGTTGAATTGATCCATAGTTATGTAACTTCAACGATCCATTGAATTATGCAGAGTAAATCCAATCGGATTTCTGCGGGATGTTAGGGTTCTCAAGGTACTTCTAGTTATATTGAATTGCTGCATTGTAAACCCAAGGTTTTGGATGAAACATAGATCACCATGGGTCCCGACTCGCCCAGGGCTTCAAAGTGCCCAAGAGTTTCACCATGCCTGCTACAGGCAGCGGTGACAAGCCTTCAGGGACTCTTGGCCCTGGATGGGGATAGCAGCTGATAGCATGAATGGGGAATCTCACCAACAATGGGATACCCTCTGGTAATTTAACATGGCTATTGAACATGACCATTGAAATAGTGGATTTACCCATTGAAAATGGTGATTTTCCATAGTTTTTTCTATGTTTACCAGAGGGTATGTCATAGGTGAAATCATGGGAGGACCAATGATCTGGTGATCTCCACTGTTGAAAAACCACCAAAAAATGGATTTTTGTGCAGTTACTCACCAAAGTTGGAAATTGGGGATATGTTTCCAAAGTTGGAAACAGAAACTTATGTAAAACCAGACTGACTTGCTGAGGATTCAGCCAACAGAAATATGGGAGATTCACCAGGAAAAGGGTGGTATTTGATCAGCAAGAATGGTGCTTTGTTCAACATAAATTTCGGAGGTTGACCAGCATGGGGGAGTAATAAAGCAAGAAACTTGCGGATGCTACTGTTCAAAAGCGTGATGCAATGGATACACGAAAAAGTATGTAGCCTTCAAAAACTTGAGGATAGAATCCATGCACAGTCCTTCCGGGTTTCTTGGGTAACTTACTTGCCTGATTTGAATACAGGATGCCAAATCAGTCACGTCAATTAATGTTGAGGTCATCCAATTTCAGAGAGATTTGTTTGGGGCAAATCCTGCATATGTCGAAGTGTATTACCATCACCCAACCCAACCCACAGATCGGCCGGTCATTTTCATCATTTTTCATCATTGTCATGTTCCCATTGTCATGTTCCGAATGTTTCAGCTACCTAATTTCGACCCGTGCCCGGCATGATGACGTTTGATGATGTTTGATGATGTTTGTATACAATCTTTCACAAGTCGGAAAATACGGTGCGTTGTGTTCATCGTTGTCCCAGACTCGGACATGGGCCTTTTTGCCCCAGTCATCTGGTGGGATGGGGAAAAACTATACCCAGGTCGACGTCCAAGAGAAAGAGAAGAGGGAAGGTGCTGGGGGCAATGTCGCTGGATTAATGTTTATAAACATGAATAAACCCTAGGGTCGATATGGGTCGATTAAACGATCTTAAAATTCTTAAATGTATTTAGATGAAACATGTTGCTACAATGGTACGCACCAAAATTCACCAGTCTAGGGCCTACGTGCTTGCAGATTGTTTGTTCCGTGGTTAACATGATCGGACTTTGTGTAGCAAGCTATCCCATCCTTATGCCGTGGCAAGGGAAGCGCTGGAGACAAGTGAGCCAGTTTTAGGTGTTCAGATCACAGAATCGGAGCTCGTTGCAGGCGATTGCAACGTAGTTTCTCTGCATAGAGTCGAGCGCAAATCTTTGATCTAAAATCGTTGCGAGGTGCTGTGGAAGGAGTTGGGATAATGACAGGTGGCATTGACATGACGCCATGCTATGACATGAATATTTGAGCAGCCATGTGCAACGGAGCAGTTCTCTGAGCGTCCTGGCTCTGTAAACCAGGTCTAGAGTTTTATTATGAGTGTTGCCAAGGTTTTTTTTCACACACTGGTCTCCATGTTTCTTGTTCCATTCCACAAAGAAGTGTTTCATCGGATGGAGTTTATCATTTAGAATTTGGAATGGCAGGTCTGTATGGTTCTGCGGTTCAGGGTGGACCAAGAAGGGCAAGGCTTAGGAGGCAGATGCAGCCGTAGTGCAGGCCGGAACTATAGCCAGGCGGTTAGGCGGTTAGGCGGTTCGCCACTAGCAGATAGTTCTTGTCAGACTGGACTGATTGAAATGATTCAAATATATTTAAATAAGTATCGCCAAGCTTCTGTGTTCCGGTGTCAACAGAGCCTTGTAGCATCTTGCAGCCTTGCTTCGCGACGGAAGGGACCGTGTTAGCGCCACCAATGCCATCATTTTTGCGACCCCCTGCCGTCATCAGAACTCAAGAACGCCCTTTGTCCGTTCATCAGCAGCGGAGAGGGTGGATTTTTCTTGCTTTCGAATGATGAGACATGATCAGACATCATGAGATCTCAGATTTCAGTGTGCTAATGGAAAAGATTCTGACCTAGACCTATACAGACCCCAAACAGGCCCTGGAAATCCGATTCCTGCAATCAATTCGACCTGGCAATGGCCAGCAGCCAACCCAGCCAGGTGGGATTGCTGGGTGTATCTCATATTCAGGGACACCCCAGGTGCGCGTGACTGGTTCTTAATGTCTAGTGATGCATGCACGCGCACACACAATCACACACATAGGTATATACAAGTATAATATAAGGAATATAAGGAGAAGTACAATTATGTACAAACATATTCCACCATATACTATGTCAACATGTGTATCTATGTATATACATAATATATACACATGTATAGAGTAAACACGAAAACATGCCATATACCCATTTCACCATCAGCACCAATCCTTAGCCACGGTTAGGCTGAGAATGGCGGGCAGGGAACTTAGGAACAGCGGCTGGAGATGGCGTGGAATGAGGGCCACAATCGGGCAACGTAACTCCGGGTGAAGAAATTGAATACCATATTATAAGAGAATATATGGTTGATGGTTTGGAACATTTTTTATTTGTCCATAATATATGGGAATAATCATCCCAACTGACCAATATTTTTCAGAGGGGTAGGTATACCACCAACCAGTAGAGATAAGAATCCAGGTCAGATCAACTCAAAAAACAGGATTTCAATTGGAGACTTAGAACGAACATCCGGTTCCTGCCAGCAATCGTGGGGATTCAGTCACTAAAAAGACTGTACGGCAGCCACTTACATCGGAGCTGCAACCAAATTGCAACCAAGACTGGGATGTAGCGCCAGAATATGAGATCAACAAAAAGCTGAGTGAGGTCAGTGAGGTCCACAAAAGCTAAAGGGATGACCTCCATGATGTCGGAAAAGTAAGATACCCTCTGGTAGCTAACAGTTTGCTATTGCAAATTGCCATTGAAATATATAGTTGATTTACCTATTAAGAATGGTGATTTTCCATAGTTATGTTTGTTTATCAGAGGGTATCTGACACATGGATGGTGGAATGTTAAATTTTACCCAGTTTGTGAACCAACAAACTCAGTCTGACGGTCAGGTGGGATGTGCTTCCTTGATATCTGTGATCCCTGTCCCGAACTTCGTTTCGTACCAAATTCAAAAGTCTGGACGAAGGGTTTTCTACCTTCTCAATGGTATGTGCCTGTCTCAACCCTCCTCCCTGTATCAAAGGTGCTTTCTTTTTCCCCTCCTCAAAGGTCCTGGTTTCCCAACCGTATTCCCGGAAAATTTTCCCATGTTCGAAGGATTTCTCAAGGCCAAGTGTTTTCCCACAGTGAAGGTTCGCGCTCAAGGCTGCCAAAAAAATAAAAAATAAAATGAAATCCCGGAGACAAACCCATACCCCGGGGAAGAACACTTGCGACCGAACATTGCAAATATGCATAAAACATGCTATGTGTTTTTCTCAATGGTATGTGCCCGTCTTAATTTTTTTAAAATTTTTATTTTTATTTTTTCTCCCCGGAGGTCCCGGAGAGGAACCCTTGGAATTTCTTCCCCCGGAGGTCCCGTAGAGGAACCCTTGAAACCCTTTTGCTCGTTTTTTTCTCTTTGTCGTCTTTCGTCGTCCGTCGTGTTTCAATGGGGATCCTTGAGACAGACACTTGACCTGAGCAAGACCACAAACGAGAAAGTACCTTGGCGCAGACCTTCGACAAATATTCCAGGCGTGGTTTTTAAACTTATGTGTCCATGAAAATGATACAGGAAACCTCCAATCTTGATATTTGTCATGATATTTAACGGGTTTTACGGTAATTTTCCCTCAAACCAACCCAGTGCCACCAAGGGCGTTGGATCGTTTGAAGCTGGGCTTCAAGGCGCATCCAACAACATTTCTGGCATCGTCCTTTTGGCATCGACATTTCTGGCATCGAACAGTTTTTGGCACCAACGTTTGGCATCGCCTCAGGGCATCACCAAGGGCTTTTCCAATACGACGTCTGCGGACGTGGAGGCAGAGAGATCTCGGGTGGATCCTTTGGTTCTATCCCTATACAGTACTTGTTGTTGTGGCTGTTGCTGCTGTTGCTGGTGGTGGTAGTGGTGGTGGTGGTCGTTGTCGTCGTTGTCGTCGTTGTCGTCGTGGTAAATGAACCCTCTTGAGCAACGCCCAAAACCTCTGTTGGTTGAGGGATATAGTATAATGATGTGTATTATATATATATATAATAATAATATTTTAAATTATTATATATATAATTATATATTTATATCAAACCTTTGCTACCCGCTTTGATGAGGTTATTGCTGGTGCAGGACCCCAGCTCGATAGACCCTGCATAGGTGTGATGACAGCTTTTGCAGACCCACCCTCTGCTCAGAAAAATGGATTGGGGTCTACTTGTGTTGGAATTTGAACATGCTACCATCCTAGTGTCCTACATTATCCATCATTATCCTACCATCATTTTCCCGCACCCCTAGCATCACGTGGATCGCAAAAAGGCACCTGCCCAAGATCGAAGTGCAGCCGCACCAAGTGCAGGTGCAGATTGGTCAATCGGGGGGGCGGAAGAATCTCCCACATCCTTGGTGGATATCCCGCATCCTTGGTGGACATGCGTCTCAGCCAACAGCCAACATGAGAAACATCTTCATCGCCAACAGAAAAGTCATTGTTTTTTTCAAAATTGGGTTGGTTAGATCCTGTTAGATCCATTAGATCCTTTTTGTTGTTGTTGTTTAAATATGTGCCGTCCAAGCCGGACGTTCGCCCACCAAGAAGAACATCGCTTTTCTTGCGTTCTGTCATACAGACAATCTGAACAATATGCTGAATGGGGAAATAACATCAACGTATCTTCATAAGGAATCAACATCTGAGATGGACATGTACAAAGAGCTATATATGTTATGACATCTACATGTGTATGTATATATATATATATATAGTTATATACAGTTATACATGTATATTTACATGTATTTATATATATACACACACATACCTCATTACTTCAACATTGATGTTGATCAAGTATACATATACATTTCGATAGTCCACCGACATAACTTTTCAAAAATACGGAACCCTTCCACGATTCCGTGACGGGGCAAACGTCAGGGTCGCAGCGAAGATGTTTAAATCATGTTACATATTGGTACATCAATTTTGAGTATGTAGCAATGTAGCTTAAAGCTGGATGAAGCTGTGCAAAAAAAACTGGTGAGTTCTTGTGGGTTGAGAGCCCCCAGTTGGATTGAATCCCAGGAGCTTCTGCGATGCCCGGGCCCTTGCAGATTCCCTGCCAGCAGCCGACTCTAAGTTGGAACGGCAGAGGTCACACAGTTTGAGAAGCCCAGTCTGCCATGACCCCTTTTTGGGGCCCTGATTTTGAAGACACCACCATTGGGAAATCATTTGTTCCATCACTAGAACCCTGCCCTCGCAGCCTCTTTTGATGGAAGTGGAGCTGCCCCTTCCCGTTGAAAAGCGTTGCCATGTGGACCTTGCTACGGGCATGGTTCGCCTTAGTGGTATGCATAGCCGAAGAGCTGGCTGAGGCACCGGCCATGCGGAACTGATATGTGTTCTTGCATGATAGATGCTTGAACCTTGCCTCTACAGACTCCCGGTTTGTCCCTCAAAGAACAACAGGTCCATATATATATACATATATATATACACATTATATATATATACACATTATATATATATATGTATATAGCCATGTAGCTTTACACACTTAGACCTCTGTGTTTTTTGGTGAAAGCCCCATTTGTATTGACTAAGCCGGCTATTTTATCTTTTGTTTTATTACAAACTCTCCATTTGATTTCTTGGGTATCCATTTCCATTCGCTACATCTCTATGTTTTGTTGGAAAGGTCTCTGGTTGGCTCAACCCTCCATGTGGCCACAGCTCAAACAAACTCATCGGTTGGGGCTTTGCATCCATTGATTAAGAGATCAGAGGAACTACAATGACCAGTATATGGGGAATCAATGGATGCAAAGGACATATCAGTATCATATCAGTATCATATCAGTATCATATCAGCATATGGGGAATCCTGCTGGAGGAACCATTTTTGGTTCACATCGCCGTGGGACGCCGCGCGGTTTTTTGGGTACGGAAGTCCAGATTGAATACTTCCAAAATGGGGGACGATGATGACAGTGCAATCCAACCCCTTCAAAAAAACAACAACAGATGTCCATCCCAACTGCAACAAACAATGGATCATTGCATTCCCAACTTTTTCCCAGGTTTGCTGGTTCAGATATCCCCAGTTGGGGGGCAATGGCAGACTTTCACATTCAGCATGGGGGTGTTCCGTTGCCAGGTCTAGGTGTTGGAGGCACTGTGCAAAATCAACAGAGTTGAATTGATGGTAAGATCATTCAAACATCCAGTATTTTGATGGTAAATTCACGTAACATCCCAAATTTGGACATCCCAACGGTATAAATTCAATTGAAGTCCTTGATGGTGAAATATGGTAAAACGACCGGACGAAAAAAACAACAATGTTTGGTGGGTCAAAACATAAAATAAACATAAATAAACACACTGTATTTTGATGGATGCTTCTGGACACTGCAGGTGGCCTTGGACTCAGACCTTGACGCCGAATGCCAGCCTTCGGATCCTTCGAATCCTTCGAACGACGCGTCCACCTCCTGCGGGACGCTGTCGCTTGCACAACTCCGAGCCAAGGCCCTGGCGAAGGCGGGAAAAGGTAGGGAGTTCCATGGAGTTCCATAGGCAAAAATGAGGAGTTGAACTCGGCTGCTTTCGCGAAAGCCAAAACTCAGGCCGCGAAAGAGGCCCGGAAGTAGCCGCGAAAGAGACTTGAGAGTTCACAGGAAAGTCAAGAAGGATTTTTTTAACTGCTCACATGATTTAACATGATTTAATTTAACCACCAAAAATAGGAACTTAACATGATTTCACTAATTTAGCCATCAAACAATATATATATATACATATTCAGATCTAAAAAGCCAGATCCAGATCCATCTATCCAATTGCACCAACTGAAAATGGTGTGTATATCATATATATATATATCGAATAATCGAAAGAATCAGCAACATACTTCCAAATACCAACCAAATACCAAAGAATTTGGAGTTAAGATCATTTGTTTGCCCAATATTTGTTTGCCAATAAATTGCATGACTTGAATCATTGAAGGTATCCTGTTTATTCCTTTCTTAGGCAACGCCCATTGAAATGAATAGAGCAATGGGGCTTCATCAACCAACATGTTGAAGGCAGGGACCTAAATGACATATTTCAGCACCCAAAGTTTGGACCAAGCGGGAGAACAGACCTGGACATGGTGGTGGACTCATCGAAGAAAAATGGTTGATCTGAAGTTCCGACCACTGTGGTTGCCAAATAAGAATGGGGTCTCAGCAGCGATCACATGGAATAAAGGCAATCACATGGATTGTCCGAGTTCGTTGCGGAGACCAGCAACGATGGAAGATGTTGAAATCAAAACGGTGATTGGATTGGTGTTTCTTGGCATTTTACCTACAACTGGTACAAATATCGGGATGCCTCCAACAGCAACTGTTCACCTAAAAGCAACCACTTCGACCCGGTGGGCCAAGGCATTTAACTACCCAAGATGCTGGATTTGACGAAAGCAAATGGGATTGAGATTGCTTGAGGTTTCCCCAATTTTGGACATCCCCAAGTCAAAATGAATATATAGCCGGTAAACTGACATAGCTATGGAAAATGGAGATGATTTACCTATATTTACCTATATGTTTATAGTTATTTTTCATATTTCTCCAAGATAGCTAGGTTCGTTTACAGGGAGTCCAGCTGCACTGCATGGCCAGGACACCAGGGGCTCACAAACGTTGGAGAATTGTGAAATGAGCGATCGGATGCAAATCCGCTGGACGGCAGACACTCGGCTCAGATTATGTGGTCAATGGATTGGCTTAAGGGAAAATCTACACCGGAAACCATGGTTTTTACCATCAAATATAGGGGGGTTCCTGTAAAGTTACCCATCATCCAGTTCGATGTTTATGATGAATCTATGAGGTTTCAAAGTCGTTCTGTACTTCAGTTGTGGATAGTTGTGGATAGTCGTTCTGCTAGGATTTGCACTGTCAAAGCATGTCAAAGTGTTTTCTTTCAAAAACCTAGCGTTGTAAAGTCATTCAGCGGCCAGAACCAGCAACGCCGGACGTTTGTGGGGACAATATCCTCCGATTTTTGTATTTTTGTTGGAAGAGATTTATGACCGGATGATGGAACTCAGATGATGTATCCCAACCAGTCTGCTAGACTATGGTGTAGTGTATATATATATATATACAATCAAAGGAAGTTTAGGGGGAGAAACTTCCGTGCTACGGACTTTTAGAATGTCAGGGAAAGAGTTAGTCAAAGAAAGAGTTAGCAAAGAAAGAGTTCGTCAGGGAAAGAGTTAGTGAGGGAAAGAGTTAGTAAAAGAAAGAGTTAGTGAGGGAAAGAGTTAGTCAAAGAAAGAGTTAGTCAAAGAAAGAGTTCGTCAGGGAAAGAGTTAGTGAGGGAAAGAGTTAGTCAAAGAAAGAGTTAGTGAGGGAAAGAGTTAGTCAAAGAAAGAGTTAGTCAAAGAAGAGTTAGTCAAAGAAAGAGTTAGTGAGGGAAACAGTTAGTCAGGGAAAGAGTTAGTCAAAGAAAGAGTTAGTAAAGAAGAGTTAGTCAAAGAAAGAGTTAGTGAGGGAAACAGTTAGTCAGGGAAAGAGTTAGTCAAAGAAAGAGTTAGTGAGGGAAAGAGTTAGTCAAAGAAAGAGTTAGCAAAGAAACAGTTAGTCAGGGAAAGAGTTCGTCAAAGAAAGAGTTAGTGAGGGAAAGGGTTAGTCACAGAAAGAGTTAGCAAAGAAAGAGTTCGTCAGGGAAAGAGTTAGTCAAAGAAAGAGTTAGTCAAAGAAACAGTTAGTCAGGGAAAGAGTTAGTCAAAGAAAGAGTTAGTCAGGGAAAGAGTTAGTCAAAGAAAGAGTTAGTGAGGGAAAGAGTTAGTGAGGGAAAGAGTTAGCAAAGAAACAGTTAGTCAGGGAAAGAGTTAGTCAAAGAAAGAGTTAGCAAAGAAACAGTTAGTCAGGGAAAGAGTTAGTCAAAGAAAGAGATAGTGAGGGAAAGAGTTAGTCAAAGAAAGAGTTAGCAAAGAAACAGTTAGTCAGGGAAAGAGTTAGTCAAAGAAAGAGTTAGTGAGGGAAAGAATTAGTCAAAGAAAGAGTTAGCAAAGAAACAGTTAGTCAGGGAAAGAGTTAGTCAAAGAAAGAGTTAGTCAGGGAAAGAGTTAGTCAAAGAAAGAGTTAGTGAGGGAAAGAGTTAGTCAAAGAAAGAGTTAGCAAAGAAACAAGTTAGTCAGGGAAAGAGTAGTCAAAGAAAGAGTTAGTGAGGGAAAGAGTTAGCAAAGAAACTGTTCCCTCACTGTAAATGGGATTGCAAGTGGTGCTGGTGGAGGAGTTGCCGATGGAGTTTTGGAGGAAGTCTCGCACGAAATGCGTTTTTGAGAGATAGCAGATACACGAAAGCCTATGTTTTTCCATACAAAGTCCGTCCCCGAACCTCGATGATCTAGCTCTGCGGTGCGACGGGTGCGAGACGGTCTCGTGTGTGGTCGGATCATGGTCGGATCGGTCTCGGATCATGGTCGGATCATGTTCGGATCGCCTATGTTTTTCCATACAAAGTCCGTCCCCGAACCTCGATGATCTAGCTCTGCGGTGCGACGGGTGCGAGACGGTCTCGTGTGTGGTCGGATCATGGTCGGATCGGTCTCGGATCATGGTCGGATCATGTTCGGATCGGTTCCGCATTGTAAATGGTGTTTCAACTGTTTTTCGTGCATGTGCGGTCGACAGAATTCCATTGTGATTTGCAACTGTAGGATCCTTCCCGCAATGTAGATGGAATTGCAAGTGGTGCTGGTGGATGAGTTGCAGATGGAATTCCATTGTGATTTGCAACTGTAGGATCGTTCCCGCAATGCAAATGGCATTGCAAGTGGTGCTGGTGGAGGAGTTGCCGATGGAATTCCATTGTGCTTTGCAATTGTAGGATCGTTCCCGCAATGTCTAGAAGGTTTCACATGCTTCGGTGGACGAGCTGAGGACGTAATGCCATTGTAATGGCTGCGTGAACTTGCTGCAGCTGGATTCTTTCAGATTTTGCCTGCTTTCATTTTCTATTTCAATTCTTTATAAAAAACGCTTCAAAAATCAACTTTTTCTGCTCTGGCGTCGAGATCCGGTTTTGGAGCTACAATTTCCGACGCCGTTGCACGTAGTTCTATTGTGTTTTGCAACTCAGTCTCTGCAGATCGCATTGTAATGGCTGCGTCAAGGTTGCTTCCTGCTGTGGCTGCATTCGTAATACTATTGTCTTTTGCAGCTGGACTTCGTAAATCGTATTGGAGTGGCTGCATGAAGGCTGCCACAGTGATTTGTCAGTAGATTTTCTCCATTTTGGCGCTAATGATTTTCCTTCTAAAAATCCTTTTAAAAAGTGCCTCAAAATCGTTTTTTTTTCGCTCTGGCGTCGAGATCCGGTTTTGGAGCTACAATTTCCGACGCCGTTGCGCGTAGTTCTATTGTGTTTTGTAACTCTGTCTCTGCAGATCGCATTGTAATGGCTGTGTCAAGGTTGCTTCGTGCTGTGGCTGCATTGGTAATACTATTGTCTTTTGCAGCCGGTTGTGTGGATGCTGGACACATAGCTGGTGTGAAGCTTGCAAAACACGTCGGCCCACTGCAATTTGTTCGACGTGCGACGCGGCCAAACTCTTGTGTCAGTCTTGCACGTCGTGTCACCAGCTGGTTTACTCCGAGGCTTCACAGAAGCCACAATAGCAACTTCCTTGCCTCCCAGAACTGGACGTGCGAAGTTGTGTTCCGCGTCCAGCATGGTCGAGGCGGCGCTGGAGAGTCAGACAAGCAAGGCGGCAAGTGTGCAGTCACCTGTGGTGAATGACTAGAGCGCCAAAAGTTCAGATTGGGGCCATTGGTGAAAGCCGAAGTCTCTGGTACGCTTTGCGTCGCCACAGAACCAAAGCTCAGTGCGCAGAATGGCTCAACATCTTGCACAGCAACAGTACGTGGTATTGCCGCAGAGGGATCAATTCTCGTTTGACTGCCGAGGGCTGGGTGTGCGTTGTTGTGAACCGCATCCGAGTCAGAATTGCTGTGCTTCAGTAGCTTCGCCTTTCATTTCGAGTTGCAGACGGCAGAATGCCTGTGTCACTTCATTTTCGTTTCTGTGTGCGTTGTTACGAACCACACAAGAAACCATGATCGTATTGCATACATGTGACAAAAAAAAGGATCTTTCAGATTTTGGCTGCTTTCATTTTCTATTTAAAATCAACTTTTTCTGCTCTGGCGTTGGAGTGTGAAGGAAGCAGTGGGAAGTGTGAAGTGTGAAGTGTGAAGGAAGCAGTGGGAAGTGAGAAGTGTGAAGTGTGGAGTGTGAAGTTTAAGTTTGGAGCGCGAAGCGCGCAGCGTGAAGTGTGAGGTTTGGAGTGTGAAGGAAGCAGTGGGAAGTGTGAAGTGCGAAGTGTGAAGTGTGAAGTGTGGAGTGTGAAGTTTCAAGTTCGGAGTGCGAAGAGTGCAGTGTGAAGTGTGGAGTGTGAAGACTTTGCTTCGTCTCTCGCTGAAAAAATCAAACGGTTGTCGAGGGAAGGACACGGTCGGGACAGGGTGTCTTTGAACTATAGGTCATTTATGTTTGGGAAACTTCCGCCGCCGGCTTGCCCGGGTCTATGTTATATAGTTAATTATATATAGTATATATAGTTACTGTATATATGTTGATTTCAACATTTGAAATCATCAACTAGTAGTTATCAGATGATTTATAAACCTTCGATAGCTTCCTCATTTCCTCGGCTGCCAGGATCCCACCCTTTGCCTCTCCAGCGAAGGCAATCGGATAGGCCTTTGCAGTCGTCGTGGTCAGACGTTCCAGGGGAGACCTGGTTTTCTTCTGATATTAATGTATATTACATAATGATATATAATCCCTATGGATCCAAGTACCTTCCCAGGATGTGTTTGGGGTATGATTTAGGGGTTAAGTACCTTCTGAGACAGTGTTTGGATCCATAGGGAATGATATATAATGATATAGAATGATATATAATGATATATAATGTATATGGGATATTAATATATAATGTATTTTGATGTATATAATGATATATGGAGGTTTCCTAAAATGGTGGTACCCCCAAAATCCATCAAAATCCCCCAAATGTTTTTTTTTGGTTGCTTTATCATGGAAAAACCACCTATAAAGGGTTGAATCTCCTGAAACGGAGCCTTTTTTTGGGGGGAAGGATTTGGTTCCCCACGTTGGGATCCCTGGATCCCAGGAATCCCAGGAATCGGAGATCAGTTGGACAGCCACCAAGCTGCTACTGACAATCACAAACATCTGGGGATGGGTCAAAACCTTGGTACCTAGTGAACCCCAAAATAGCTGGTAAATGGATGTTCATCCCCCTAAAAATGGTATTAATAGGTATTGATCCATACCCATCTGACATTCATCCCCTTACCAAATGGTGCAAAGTGATGTAATGTGGGTAAAGCAATGCCATTTTTACCACCCGTTTTCCTGGGAATGGTAAGTTTATACCACCTTTTTTAAAATGGTGATGACTGGGGGATGGTGCAAATGACATTGTTTTCACCACATTAGGCAATGGTATCAGAATGCAATTGTGGAAATGCGACGAGATGCTTGGCGCGACGTGGTTTTTGGGGCTATTGGGATCACAAGAAATTCACGCTGGAAGCCCCCGATATGTTGATGTAAAAACCCATGGCTTTCAACGAGTTTCAAGTTGAAAAACCCTAAGTTTTCCCTGAAACCAATCCATTGATGGATAGCACATGATAGCGATAAAAGTGATGATTCCATTGGTTTCACCACATGTGATCCTGATGCAGATGCGCAAAGGACATTAGGGTCAGGTCAGCTGGTGAAAAATAATGAAATATAGATATGGGATGATATGGGTTTGTCTGGAAATTGAGTCCCCCCTCAGTGTGATGTATGAACGCATGCGAAATATCACATGATTTGTCCCATTGAAATGGTTATTTGACGAGGCTATCCCCAATTTTCACAAAAATCCAATGGCAACAACGACCTACTTTTACAGTCATCCCTCTATCGCAACTCTATAATTACGGGTGACAATGGAACGTTTCGGAGACTTGGGGCCCTTTGTAATTGTAGAGTCCTTAACAAATTTAATGTTCCCGCAAATATGTACTGCACCCCAAAAATATCGTTCCAACACACTCAGCAATTTTATGTTTGCCAAAACGGATTTGTTCTGGCGTGATTTTTCTGGCGCGAACTGTTTTATAACTATAAGGATGGCGCGGATTCAATTTCTAATGTTCTTGGATATGTGCAATGGTCAAGTTTCTTAGGTACGGTAGATTGCCCGTTTTGGAGTAGGGCCATCAATCCATTTTAGGGATTTGCATGCCCATTATTATATATTATATATATATATATATCTACACGTAATTATATATATATATGTAATTATATATATGTATGTATATCTATGTCTATATATATATATATACATATGTATATTATATATTTTACTGTGTATTAGATTTTATGTTTTAAAAGTATATTATACATTATATAGTATATCGTGTATATATATACATATATATATATATATATGTATATATACATATATATATATGTATATATACATATATATATATATACATATATATATCACAACTAATTAATTAATCGGGGAACCCCATTCATGATCAGCGGGATGTCCAGGGGTCCTGTCCGCATGTCCCCATGTTTGGTTACATATTCCACCATTCTTGGTTGCAGGTCATCAATTCATCACACATTCCCACAAAAAAAATCATTAAATTCCATGTTTGAATCCTTTTTAGATTTTTAAGTTGGTGAAATCATCATGTTGCTGGTTCAACACCCCCATTGTTGGTAAAATCCAGATGTTAGTCGCTTGAGAAGAAGGGGGGTCAGTTGATGTACAGTAGTATTGTGTGATCCTTCGTTCAGAATTCCAGGCACCGCCGCAGCTATTTCTGATATTTTTGGTAATTTTGGAATGTGCCATTTAGTTGGGGAACGACCCTGTGAACGACATCCAGAACGACATTGGAACGACCTCCTAAATATACGTATATAAGTATATATTTACACATATTTACAGGTCTAGATGCTTTTAGAACAAATCAGCAGCCAAATTACACCCGGAACCACCCTAAATGCATTTTTTGGGGCTGGCAAATTGCATCTGGCACCGTCTTTGTAAACTCTGCAACGAGACCCCGGCCTGAGTGGCTTCCCTCTAGAACCATGTCTTTACGAGCCCGAGACTCTTCCCCGTGCTGTGCCACCAATGCACGTGCACAAAAAATGTTTGGAGACAGGGTTTTTTATGAGAATTTTATCCTGGGCGCACCCACGGCAGTAAGCAGAAGTGCATGTCCACTAGAAACATAGATGATTCTACCCTTTCAGGGGAATTCAGACAGGAATCTGATTTTCAGATTGTATAATTACTGTGATTTACTGTGTATTCAAGGGTCAGTATTTAGCCAGTTTTCTCGGCTCCCAAACGACCTCTGAACGACCTCTGAACGATATCAGGATTTCAGTCAGAATGACTAATTTTCCACAAAAACCCAAGACGGCAGACCATTCATCCCATGCGTGCTGCGTTCCAAGTCACTGACCTGATAGCAACCTGTCTGTTCCACACATGGGTTAATTTTCCCAGTAACACTGTCAAAATTTTCCGCCATGTTTCAATATGGCCCCGTTATGGGATTGTGAAAAAGTATGCTGTTACGGATATGATGTAGCTGAAAGCAGCTCTGATGTAGATGCAACAAGCTCTAGTTCAAACAGTTCAGAATCAAGCGCCGAGACATAAATATGAAGACCGAGGCTTGGAAATCACATGATTTGCTTTTGGGATCACGATTTATTTTTTTTTCAGCTCACTTACTGTAGGTTTTTCTAAAGATTCTTTGAATCACCATTTTCTATACTTTATATGAAATCAGCCAGAAATCGCTTTGTCAAATCACGATTTCGCTTTCTGAAATCACATTTGTTGGGCCAGATCTAAGGACCTGGTCCTCTCCAGGGCAAATCTTCAAGCAGCAGCTTCTGCGCTGGGCCGCGGACGAACGGATACGTCCCCTGGATGATCGATGGGGCCTCCAGATAGATATTTGACCAATGAAACATGGTGATTTCATGGGAATTCACTGGATTTAGATAGGTTGGTGCAAATAACTTGGTGAACTGTTGGGTTGAAAAGGGGGGATATGCTGTAACCATCTGTAACCATAGTATTCATGGGGGTTATGAACAAACTTATAACTAGGGGGCTCTACCTTGTACTGATCCGTTATTTGTGAAAAATCCATCTTCAGTCTTGCCAATGATTGAAGGAACCCCAACTTTTGATAGCATACAAGTATATACAAAACATTTGGTGATATACAAGAAATCATTGGATATTGATGATACAAAACATATATATATATATAATATGATATATATATATATATACATATAATTTAGGGAACCACAATTATTCATTGATGATTTATTTAAACCAAATCATTGGAGCAGCATCGCAAGGCATGGCTTTTAATCCTGAGTACTGCGTGGTGGTTGACAACGATGACTTCAAGAATGGCGCCAAGATTCAATTGTTCCCCGACACGCAAGGATATTGATGGATGGTGGACACCATGTTCAGATGGACGGTGAAATCCCATATAACCAGTTAACCAAAGTTTTTTTCTTTTGTTCTTGATGGGTGGTCCATGGATGGTGTTTCACCCTTTCAAAATTTGCGTGAGGAGTGGGTAAAAACTATGGGATATTACTTCGGGGATATAACCAGCATATTTTGGTGTGTCTGAAAATGTGGAATGACAAAATAATGCAATATTTGGGATTTGGGGATAGGAAATGTTCAGACAAGACCATGCGGAAGAAAAAACAAGGATCAATATCATGTACCGTAACACCTTCAAAATTTGAAATGTGAACACATTTGGTACTAGAGTGGTGGTGGCAACCTTCTAGTCAGACTTTTGACCTCTCAAAAAAGTGCCCTTTTTTTACCGTTTCTGACCTCTTCCACCACCGAAGGTAACCGCAGTTGCCAGGTGGAAATGCGATGATTCCAATGAGATGCAAGACTGGGTCCTGTGGCACCTCGGTCCGAGTCAACCGAATCGACTGAACCGACTGCAGTCGCCGAGATACCCTGAGATACCCTCCGGTAAACGTTTACAGAACTATGGAAAATCACCATGTTTAATGGGAAATTCCACTATAAATGATTATAAATGGCCATTTTCAATAGCTGTAGCTATGTTAGTTTACCAGAGGGTGCCCATTTTTTGAGGGGCCATCAACTTGGTTACTGCGACCAATTATCGGAAAATGATACCCACGAGGGAGGGGGATAGTCATGTTAGTTCTTTATCTGCCCATTGTATCTGGGGTGTTGGGAGCGACCTGATAAACGTGATGATTGATAATGTTTTCCCCTATGATAACTACAACAACTAGTTGAATAATTAGCCATACATTTGGATATAATATGCCCCAGTTTTGGACAACTCACCCCCATATATAGACTATAGATATATTGAAGTTGAGTGAACCTGAGCCATCGAAAAGCAGCAGCATAGCTGGGAAAAGTTGTGACATGTGAAGTACATGAGATGTAAAGCTGTCAAATCGACAAAAAAACATACTTCATTTACTCAATTGTGACTAGTTTGGAGGCTATTGAAACCATACAGTAACTTGAAAAAGTGGTGAATTTGCTGTACCGCACTACGGCACTGTTGTTTTGGTTCCGCAAAATTCTAAAGTCACGGCTTTAGGAGTCACTTCGGTGGCAGCTGCAGTGGAATGATTGCGGCACAAGCCACTGACAAGGAGTACTGCATGGCGACCTGGCTGGTGCTGGTGGGGTGCTCCAAAGATGCTAAGTTCGTATTAATAATCACCCCCTCCTCTAGAAGGTAAGAGTCCCCCCCAATTAAAAAACTAGGGCTTGTCACATGCAAAAAACGACCAACCTGCCTGCCAATGGGTCGAGATTTCTCTTTTCAGTGGCAACCTCCCTCCCAATATCCAATGGGGTGAGATGGTGAGATTGGGCCTGGGACATCCCTTTACACTTTTTTAGCCATTAAAAACCAACTAACCATTAACGAAATAATGAAAAAAACATATATCCTGACTACCACAAAATTAGGATTTCTGAGCAGGGTGTTGTTTAATGGGGGGTGTCGCACATGTTTATTAATTGGGAGGGACCAAACCAAAGTAGTATTGCCAAATATTTTTTGGAATGTGAGCGTTGATTACTCCGGGCTGCTTATTAATATGAACTTAACATTGAGGATTTTACCAGCAAAAATGGTGATTTCATGGGAATTCACGGGATTTAGATAGCTGAGTTGGTGCTATAGCATTCATAGGGTTTATAAGCATGTTTATAAATCAACTTATAACTACTATAGGGGCCCCTACCTTGTACCCAATATGTCACATTTTTTTCAATAATCCAGGAGCTGGGAATCCCGATTAACCGCCCTGCAGTAAAATAGAATGATTGGTACAAGTTTCAAACATTCTAGAATATTCTAGACCAACAAAAATGGTGAGATTTATAACCAAAAATGGGGACAGTGGGTTTAAAGCCACAATTTTGCGGTGATGTAATTCCAGATCATTTTCCAACTAGTATTGGGTTTTTTTTCCCCAGACTTTCGGGGAAAATCCGATCCTTGCAACCGCAGGTGGTGGATGGCAACAACGGCTTCGACGGAGCCAAAGTCCAGCTATGGAAATGTGCGGGAGACCAATATGCCAAGACGTGGAGTCCCTGGACCCAGGAAGCGTGAGACGATGAATGGCGATGAATGGCGATGAATGGCTCAGCGAAGCCGAAAAAGCGAGGTGTTTTCGGTATGGAAAGGTTGGCGACATGTTTGTTAAAGCAGAGATTTGGATGTTTTTTCTGACTCTCAGATGTATTTTTGACGCTTGTTCGTGTTTTTGTTTCTTGAAATCCTTGTTTCTCAGATTTGATGGTGAAAATATGCGCAACGCGCTGAGAGAAGACTCGGTGCTCAGCCGTCCGCTTTTTCACTCAAAAAGTCAGGCAGCTTTGAGGCAAGTGGCCATCAAAGAAACCAGGGAAGATCTGGTTTTGTCCGAAAATAATACCCTCCAGATCCCTCCAGGAATCAAACATGGGGGTTTTGACGGAAAAAGTAATCTATAAATGGGGAATCTTCCATTGGAATGTTTGATTGCCAGAGGATACTCGTACCTCATCCAGCGGGTGTGTATAATTCATCATTATTCCTTCTACGGGTAAACTGGCTATTTTGGGGTGTATGTCCCATTTTCAGACAAACCAATGTGAACCATGCCGGCACTGAATATGCAGTGGTTGATCTGACTGATGGATTCTATCTAACTCAAAATCAGTAGGAATCAAAATTTCTCTCCCACATTCATTGCTTCCTTCCAGCCGAACCCATCCTGGGGCCACTTGATCATTTGGATGTGCTGCTGCTGTCGCTCCAGTGGAATTCGCTGGTGATGGCAGGTAAGCAGTGCGCCCCTCTCTTTAGTCCTGGTAGCTGCAAGCATTGCAATGGTCTCCAAATATATATATATAGAGAGAGAGAGAGTAGATGTTTGATAGAAACGGAGATAGCTTGGAAATGAGTGTCCCTGCAATTTACCAGTGCTTATGGACTTTTGCATGCACTTTGGGGACCATTCTACAGTTCCTGAAAGGCATGGCTGAACAAAAAAAAGTTCGATCGCAAACTTTTCACCTGCGCCAAAAGAGGCAGGTTGTGCAGGGACCATCCATGTCGCAGTGTGGTTTTGAAAGCATTGCTGAAGAAATCAGTGAATAAGTGATTATCAGTATTGATCCCCAAAGCTAGATGAGCAGTTTCAAGAATCCTGGGGTTGGTGGATGATTAGTTCTAGAGTTATGAAGCTGCCCTAAGATTGCCAGTTGGTGAATCTTATAGTCTGATAGTCCATGAATGAAGTGTGGGAATCTCCATGGTTGAGCCAACCATTGTGTGCATAGGTGTTCCGTTGACCATCAACATCCACCAATCATGATATTACCCATGAACCAATCAACTTCACCAACTAACTTCACCAACAAGGCAACCATGAATCACCCACATCCACCAACCGTTCTTTTGGGCATGTTTCAAAGCGATGTTGTTTTTCGTTCCACTGGACCGAGGTTGGGCTCTTGGGCCGAGAAAGCACGCAAGGCCTTCGGCGAGGCTCTGTTGAAATGGGGTGGTCGAATGGTGATTTAACAACCAAAACTGATGATTCAAACATCCTACATGAATAAACATGGCGATTATACAGGATAATCAGGATATGAATCGCCTATATGATTCGTATATCATGATTCCTTCCTGTGAGAAAATCGTTTACAGTTTTCCATGGAAGCCGTGGCCAACCCCCAGTCACCTGGGTCATATTCTGGTCATATTTTTTCCAATGTGGGCCTGTCAAATTGTTGGGCTTCAAAACAAAACTGGGCTTACATAGTGCGTCCCATGCAGTTTTAGACCTGGTTGCATTGACTTGTTTGACTTCCTGAATGCGTGGCGTCCCATGCAGTTTTTACCTTGGTTCCACATATGCACTGACTTTAACGTCCCAGTGTACTAATATCCCATTGAACCCTACTAAATGTAATGGAATGAGGTTCCCAATTTGCTGAGACAACCGCTTAAGTGCCCAGGCACTAGGGTCAACTCAAGCTGTGCACTCATCCCTGGTGGGCCGACATAGGTGGCATACGACCCCGTTCCCAAGGAGGAGACGCCCGAGGCGGGATCCCGTATAGGTATGATACACAGGCACCATGGGTTTCAATCGGTTTCAATGACTTGGATGATTTGGGGGTACCTCCATGACTTTGGAAACCTCCATATGTGTACAATTATGTACGATATGTGAAGTAAAGTACGAACTAACGTTCTTGTAGCACCACATCTTACACATTGTGTTCTTTCAAGGAGAAGGGTGCAAAGCAAAATGCAGTCCAGGAAACGGCGTTCTTTTTCCGTGTAGCGTTGGGCCTGCAAGTTGGAAGAGTGGATGTCATGAACCTAGAAGAACATCCGTCTGTATCTATTGACCATGATTAACCACCCCCAATCAAAACCCTTGTCTAGTGTTGGATCATGTTGGATCTATATGAAATCATGAATTGTGGCCTCATGTTGTGAGAGAATCCAGTATCTTTATTTTTATTCGTTCAAATCCGCAGTTCGGCTGGTTCAATACCAATGTTTGGTGGTTCAACCCCTATCTTACCAACTACGGTATCTTGATGGTTGATCGACCCATTTGAATTTTGGGGGATTTGAGATTCCCAGCAATGACCAGATGTGAAAACCAGGCCGTCGTTGATGAAGAGAAGGGCGAGGCGGTGGCTGGTAGGGTGGGACCCCTCAACGATAGCCAAGTGGTTTAGTTCACTACAATACCTACCCTCTGGTTAAACATACAAAAAGCTATGGAAAATGGCCATTTACAGTGAGTTTTCCCATAAAAAAAATGGTGGATCGTTCCATGGTTATGTAAACGTTTACCAGAGGGTATAGGGTTTTGATTGGGGATATGTCGAACTACTTAGATGGGCCCAACTTTGTGTTTCGTTTCTTTTTTGTGAATTCCCGAAATCTCGCGGAATCTCATGCGAGAGAACATCACGTTCCTCATTGTTTACTGGCTGTAAAAATTGTGATATCCCTATTTTGGATATTTTTGCATAATCCCACGGTAAGATCATGGCTACTGAAGACAAAAGACAGCCATATACATCTGTGGACAATAATTCCAAAACCAAGTGAGAAGAAATGTTTGCCGCAACAAGCAAGAAGGCAGCACCAGAACTGTGGACACTTGCAAGAAAACAAGGGAAATTACCGCTGCAACAAAGAACATAAGGACCCAAACCAGGGACAACCACAAAAAACAGTAACTATATTAAATCATATAAAACCAACATCGTGTTACTATGACTCGCCATGACTGGGTAGCGCCCGTGCTTCGGGGGGTGTTCGCATCTGCTTTCACAAGTGAGGCATAAGTGATAAATTGTTTCTAGGAGGGAGGTGTGACTTTTCCAGCTCTGGATTTCCACAGAAAAATCCAAATCTTGCAACGCTGGGTCATGACAAAACCATAAAAAACCTATCAAATATTCTCTCTGAATTATGAAAACCCCTCACCTCGTCTAAATTTCCAAGCAACGCCCGATTCCATTTAAGCTGGTTCTTTTAATTCTCATCATTTGCGCAAGATACAAACGGCCCCAAAAGTAAATCCGTAAATCCATGTACTATGGGTATATAAATCCCCATCATTTTCCTCAGGAAATTCCCTATGATTCCTGCGTTACTGTAAATCCCTGTTCGTTGCATTAAATCTTGTCCAGGAAAGCGAAGACTTCATGTTCCCATGGGAAATTCCAGAGATTTCTTCTCATCTTACCATGAAAACCATGGTGAAACCAGAACATGTCATGGTTTTCCCACCAAAAACCATGGTTTTCCCACCAATAACCATGGTTTTCCCACCAAAAACCATGGTTTTCCCAGCAAAAACTATGTTTTTCCCACCAAAAACCTCAATGTTTTTCAGCACCTATAGGGCACCTGGGCTAACTTCTCCAAAGCGGCGAGCCGATTAGGGAAGTCCGTCAGGGGACCCGAGGTACCAGTTTTCGGCTAGCCATTTCTCTAGAGACATTTTGGAAGAAAAAAACAGAAACGAAATTTTGGGGTACCTGAGTTTCAGACAAACCTATATTTATCTTATATTTGTTGGTGATGTTGGTGTTTCTTCTCGTTTTTTGATCGGGATTTCTGTGATAATGTTGAAGAACTCAATGGAAAGTCTCCTCTTTCTTGGTTTTTGAATGTGTTTTCAATTTTCTTTTGATGACAAGTTGACATCCTACATCCTTTGAAGTAAGAGCGAGGAAAAGGCTAGACAGCCTTAAGTGAATATGTTTCACTACGCTGTGTACAACCACCTTGGAATAAACTAGCGACGACGAACAAATTCCTGATGAACATGTTCAACATGAGGACGAGACCTACAGTGATCCATGTTCAATTTTAGACTTAGATTAATTGTAGGTAAAACAATAATAAACCACCCATTTCGGAATGATTTATACCAGCTATAACAATGGTGATTTGGGGGATGATTTATGGCATTGTTTTACCAACATTATATCATTTGATTGGTACGTCATGCCACATCGGCTGAGGTATCCAGCATCCATTACATTAGGGACTCAAGGGAGCAGCCCAGGTTGCATCAGCAGCGGAGGAGGCGAAACAGAATCTTGAGAAGGCTTGCGAGACTGTTCTGAGTTTGCGTCCCAAAAGTGGTAACGCAGCTACCCGCGGTGTCAAACATGGAAGGTTGGAAAATTATCGATTCATGGGAGACTCTTTAGCGCATGATTAGCGGAGGGTAATTTCATGATGGAGATGTCTGTGCACTGAACCTGGATGCGTTTTAAAGAGAGAACAGTATGATCAGTTTGTATTTTTAAGGGGAAAAATAATGATAAACCCATGGATTGAATGACCAAAAAAAACACATGGACCACGCAAACGTGGAATTTTGGCGGACCTTTACTGCCACTCAACCAATGCATGGTCATCAAGAAGGAGCGACAGTGAAAAAAATGGCCTTAGTTCATCTTAGTTCAAGTTGCTTAAGTATACCAGTTGCCCCTATGACATGGTAGGTATACCCTTTGGTAATCTAACATAGCCATGGAGAATGGCCAGGTTTACCAGGTACATTCCAAGTTTTGTGCATCCCTACCTCCCCGGTCATCGAGGCAGCCGAGAAAGCCAAGAGCGCGGACCTTGCACAGTCCCGGCAGCCCAGAGGGCCGCAACAATGCTGAGTCAGACATGGCTAGCTGGGAAGTCCCTATAAATGGGCGTAGACATGGGAAAAAGCATCGAACTATATAAATGGGGGAATTTCCCATGGTTGATTGCCAGATTGAGGGATTCTTTTCTTGATGCAAACCCCAGTTTTGCGAAATGTTGAATTCTGCTGAATTTGCAGGAGGAAGACAGTCACCGATTTTGGCCTTTTATTCTTTTACTGCATTCCCAGAGAGAGAGAGAGAGAGAGTAATTACAATTTGAAATCTCGCACTGAGCAGCAAAAACAAGTCGTGGACATTGGTGGACGTATCATGGGTTACATGTAGAGTTTCACGGAGTGCTCCATGGGTGCTTGGTTGCTAAAAATCAGCCCCCAGGCCAGTGTTTACGGTCATGGAATGTCATGGATTTGCGTTTTGATATGTGCTCGCCTGACACATGGATCCATGCAACATCATGCAACATAGTGAAACATCATGAAAACACTATAATTAATCGATATTTAAGTGGAATTATGTTTTTTCCATGCAAGCTTCAGTTAATTCAAGAATCCCCCAAAATAGTAGGATGACATTCCTTTGACGCTTGCGCAACTTCGAGTTGCCTCTGCAGAATCCACCTCCAAGGCAAGTACAGGACTGGCAAAGTGGCGCCCGCAGCCCAGCCGTGTCCGATCTGTGGATTACCACCCTTTGGTGCTGGAAAAGGAATACATTTTACCATGAATGTAGTAGGGGTTTCTACATGTTTCTACTATTTTCCATTTTTTTTTGGGGGGTTTGATTATCAATACTGGTTGGTGGTTTCAAACATGAATTTTATTTTCCATTTCATATATGGGATAATCCTTCCCATTGACTAATATGTTTCAAGATGGTTAAACCATGTTAAAACCACCAACCAGAATATCTTATCTGCGTCAAGACGTCACTCAGATGATCCTTGGCCCGCCTCAGGTGGCGAAAGGTCTCGGTGCAGCAGCCGACCGCGCCAGTCAGGCGCGCGAGGTCTTTGCGGAACGTGGCAAGGCGCGGCTCGGGAGGTAGAGCTACCAGAAATTGGTAGGTTCTAAGGCCGAAACCGATGGAAACTTATCCTTTGGGTCATCAAAGTTTCACTGATCTTTGCATAAGTTTCACTGGGAGATTTCAGGAAAACCGTTATAAATGAATTCAGGATTGAGGAACATGAGGCTAGCACTTTTTTCGCACGATTCACTGGTGTCTTGCGGGCAGACATATGGTGTCCATTGAACAAAATGATGGTCATATGGAGATGTTACGTAACAATGTGACCAACTGCTGATTGTAAGAGGGTTAGAATCGAATTCTTCAGATGAGGCCCATAGAGTCCTCATGATGTTTTGCCAGCAGAAAGATATCTGAGGCAGCCTCGGCCATCGCCAAGGAGAAGGGTTGATCCACAGAAATTTATCCGGAAAGAACAAAACATATCAAAGCCACAAAGGTAAAGGGTAATACCCAAGGATCCACAAGGCTTCGGAAATGATACAACAAAGATGGCACCCAGTTCTTAAGACATGCCTAAGTAACAGGCTCCTAAGATGGCATTTATGTGAAATTGTAGGCAAAAACGAAACGATATGCATGTGATAATCATTTGATTGAATATTATTGATTATTGATCATCATGTTCTCATAAACATTGCCATTTACAGGTTGATGTGTGTGTGGGTATCCCCCAAAACCCATGCTTGATCATCATTTTCTGTTTCAAAATAGCCACAAGTCGGGGTATCTCCCAGTTTTGGACAAACCATATTTGTATTTCAGGAAGGGACCAATTGTCAATTGCTGAGAATGTTTGTCACAGACAAGTTTGTTCGCCCATCTTGAGACGAACTCACACCGAATTTTTACACGCCCAACATGGATGATACAACATGATACAACCATTGCAAGTCATATACCCATGTTTGTCAATGCCCCGACATCCAAACCAATCCGCGTGATACTAATATTAATAATATTAATCCATCTGATAATTAACATTGAATTATCTGATTAGTAACATTGAATTAATTTGATACTAATATTAATCTGATAATATTAATCTAATAGTATTACTCAATACCGAATCTTAAGAAGTTTCGCCATTTTTTCAGATGTGTTCTCCCTAAAATTCCACCAGCATTTTCTCCATGATCTGAAAATCGGGTTTGATGATTAATCAACTAATCATCATGAATCATTCCATATATATATAATTCCTATTCAACTTGCCTCACTTGGTTTGCGGGTTCCCCCCCATATGCCATATTTAACTTGCCATTTGAGAGGACACCAACCCTCCAAGGGAGCCGCAGGACTTGGGCAGCAAAGCCGCCAACAAGGCCTCCGAAGCCAGCCGCGAAGCCGCAAGCAAAGCCAAGGAAGCGAAGGCCGCTGTGGGCCGAGACCATCGTAGACCGGTGATGAAATTTTGCCGGGCCAATCTGGATTGAAGCAACATTATGATGTTGATGGTATAACCAACAATAATATGATGGTATAACTAAATATAACTAATGTTATAATCAAAGGGACCTTTGATCATCAAAAAATCTGGTGTAATTCGCAAAGATGAGGATTTCACGTGATTTCACTGGCAAAACTGAAGTTTTAAGCCAAACGAAATGTGATTCAACGTTATTTAATTGAACAAGGATTTAGCATGATATCTGAAGGCTGATGCGGTGTATTGCATCTTTGGATGCAAGTGGTAAAATTGAATGCATATGAACAGTCGCTCGTGATTCTCATTCCAGCTGACCTGCAGCTGAGGATAAAGCAGCAAGCGTGGCAGGGGCGGCCAAGGACAAACTTGCACAGGCGAGGACCCGACGTTTGGTCAACGGATGGACAGAAAAATAGGACATCCTGACACCTTTTCTGTATGAGGATTAGACACGGTTGTTCAGTTTCTTGTTTTGTTTCTGTATCCAGCCTCCACGATCGTTGACAGGCGGGTGAGGGGCTGAAGGGCTTAGGAAGCTTGGCGCTGTCGCCAGCAAAGCTGGCGCAGTGGGGGGCCACAGCACCCCAGTGCGATGTGTTCCGGGGGAGCAGTGATTGGGGATTGTGGTGGTGTGGAACTAGTGTGGTTGAGAGTTGGGTAGGGATATGTAGGGATCAAAATCTAAGGCCACGCTGTGTTTGAAGATCCTTGATATTAACCAATTTGAGGTTTGTTTTCCTGCCTCCAAGTGGTGGAGTGCAATCGTCCTGTCTTCAAGTTGCGAAGATTTTTCCCAGAATGTCTCTAAAGCGATTCCAAGGTGATTTTGAAAGTCTCCCAAGCTCCAAAGTTAGGTGTCTAAGAATAGGATACCACCAATAAGTTCCATGCTTTCTCATGCTTTCTCCTCATTTTCCCCTAAACTTACCATTAAAATCCATCCCATATGCTCCATGTATGGTATATTTACCTACATGTGGGTGATGTTTAGGGCAAATGATGGTAAATATTCCAGCACCATGGAGCATATGGCCATTAAATGAGCACAACTTGGCTGGCTCCCATCCGAGGTTCGGCGGAACTTTCCTGGTCGGTGTCTTTCTCATCGCAATGGTGCCCTGTTAACATCGCCTCATCGCGGGGCCCATCCGCAGGTCGCAGGTCATAGCACCCCCCGATGGTGACAAGATGATCATGTCCGACATATGGCTATGGATCAATACCTATTAATACCATTTTTAGGGGGATGAACATCCATTTACCAACTATTTTGATGTTCACCAGGGGTACAAGGTTTTGACACACTGCCATATTCCGACATTATCTAACATCTATACAGTCTGACTACAGTCTATATATATATATACATGTTTGTTTATGATATTTTTAATGATTGCATAGTCTAGACAATGTTTTTTGTACATACGCAATATTTGTACATGTAGATTCATACACATATTAATAATGGTTGTACAAAATGGATCAACTATCCATAGCTTCTTTTTGAAGCATAGTCACAAACAATGAGAAACATTGCCACTTCACCTTCAAAAAAAAGGCCCTTGCCCTTGCGCACCACGTCGCGCCGCGGCCGAGTCCTTCTCTTTTTTGCCGGTCATGGTCATTGCGCCCCAGAAGTTTGCTCTACTCTTTGCCTTTGGCTCCATGACCATGTGCCCTGGGGACGCCGCAGATGGGGATGCAATCTGTTGATATCAGAAGTGTTCAAACAGTCGAAAGAATAGCAGTGATTATTTAGGCCGTGGGTTGGCCTCTTTGTCTGTTCAAAGCTAAATATGCTAGAAACTATTTACTAAAATGGGAATTTTATACAGAAACTATTTAGAACTATTTGCGCTATTTACAAAATATACAGAAACTATTTACAAAATATACAGAAACTATTTACAACATATACAGAAACTATTTACAAAAATTACAGGAAGATTTACTAAACATATGCAAACTACCCACTAAAATTCACAAAATAATCATACTGCAATCATATCAAGATCATGGCTAGGTAAGATGTTTGGCTGATGATGTGGTGGACAAGGCTTTCAGAATGTTGCCTTGACTTGAGTGTACCCGTGAAAGGATTGAAATGGTGTGATAATTTTATTCATCAATATCCATGGCATCCCAACAACAGAATGCAGCAGCGGCACCAACTTAATTTTCCTGTTTTTTGATTCCAACCCATTGTGCCCTCATGTTTGCGTCAAACGAACGAAACAAGGCAAAGGTTTCATGTGCCATTTGGATCCATTTGGTTTACCCTAGGCATAATTCAAAGTAATTGTAGTAATGATCCATATGCCCATGCAGGATACAAGGCTGATATTCCAACATTTGAACAATTGAATACCCAATAGTTGGTATCTCATTGAAATGCGTAACACTACTTGTCTTTAAATCCGTGTGATCGTAAATTATATGATTGAAATTTCAATCAAAAGTGCACAATTATTTACATGTTATATTTGTATGTGAGATATACATCTGATGCTATAGGATGAAAAATTGATAATATTACATATATATATATATATTAATATAACACTAAATATGTGTGAATATGTATGTTGCTAGTGATTAGTTTCCAACGGTTGGAAGCGGTTCGAGACTATTCACTAGATAGTAGTTTTGAACGGTTCGAAACGGTTCGAAACTATTTCTTACCCAACAAAACGTAACAAAGTTTAGAAGCGGTTTCGAACGGTTTCGAACTATTTGAAACTATTTGGAAAAATGTGGGGTAGCAATCGTTTTGGGGTAATGAATAGCTTCGAACGGTTCGAAACGGTTTGAAACTATTTACTAGAAAATAGTTTTGAACGGTGCGAAACGGTTTCGAACCAATCACTAGGAGCCGTTTTCTGAAACATATCTTTAATCTCTTTCCCATTCTCTCTCCATCTGCATATAATGGATGTATAATGATATATATATATATTAATATGTATTACTTGTGTTTTTGTTGTTTCACAGACAGAAACACTGTCATGTATATTGACAGCAGTATGTTCATATGCGACCTGAATCTGCTAAATGTTGGCTCGATTTTTGCGTTTGTTCTATGCAGATTCTTGTTCATTTTGTTCTTGAACCATCGGTAATGTGTGCAACATAAAACAGTTCCCTGTTGACTCCTTTGACTCTCCCGGGAATTTGCTGTTACGCTTCCCTTTTTGGGTCTTTTTTCGGAAAATTTAGTAAATAGTTCCGGAAAAATTAGTAAATAGTTCCGGCAAATTTAGTAAATAGTTTTCCTTCATAAAATGAAGGCAAACGGGTGGAGTACTGCATCGGCTGGCTCGCGCAGAGACATCGGCTGCTCCCACGGAGACATCGGCTGGCTCCCGCAGTGAAAGTAAAAGTACCCCAAAGGAACACATCCGGACCGTTTTTGGTGTCACATCCCAGGCCTGCAGCCCGCGGTGTTTTCCCCCAGTTCAACGAACAAGCAAGGACAACACAGCATGATATGCAGGAGTGCTCCACATTTGCAGCAAACCTTTAAAACCAGGTTCTTTCGATCTTTTGGGCGGTGTGCCAATTGAACATCAACAAAGAATTGAAAGAAACAGTGCCATCAGTGGCCACAGAACAACAAAAAATGTACCAACATCAGCCAAATCAATGTTTAATAAGACCTTTTTACCATTCATCAGAAAAAGCAGGATTAAAAACACTACATGGACTAAACGAAATAAATGGATTACATTGGGTTAAAATATGTTAAAATGACTTAGATGGATTACATTGGTTTAATGGATTAAGTGAGTTAAGTGGATTAAATGTATAGTATAAGGGCTGGATAAGGTCTCCTTACACGAAAATGCTGTATATATAGAATGTGCAAACATCGAGGCCCTTCACCTAACCAGATTCTCAAACGTGCATATACTACCTCCAGGATTTTTCCAAAGGACTTGGCCAAGAACCATCTTTGGCAGCTCGCATAGTACCATAGTGCTGATTTTGAGATATTGAGTTGTTCCATGAAAGCCCAATGTCGTCGTTCCGTGGACCAGCCAGTCAAACACACGATGCTGACATACGTATTTTGTATATTTAGTAGAATCTATCATATTATATTATGTTTTATTTCATATGTATATTTTTCTTTCGCACCTGTCTGCAGATAGGTCATGGGTCTCAACTTATAGCAAGCGTGCATGTACATATGCTTACGTTTTCAAACATGTTGCAGAATATATTGTGTTGGTCACTAGCTAGGGTCACCGCACGAACAAATCGATCCCAGTTTGGCAGACAGCCACTGCTCCACAAGCTGTTGGCAGCAGGGAGTGTTTGTGTGTGTGCGCGTGTTGATTTGTAGGCCCGCTGTACCGCGTAATGCCCGGTTTTTAGATCTGTAGTTCTCAAGAGTGTTCAGCAGTTTGTTTGCATTGTTGTGTAAGGTCGTGAGCATGTCAATACATGTACAGTACTCAAATGCAGCAGTGATGAGTTTCAAGTCTGGTGTATATTGTCAACCATCCATTATCCGAAATCGACATTGATTGATGTTCTTGTGTTCCATCATCTTTTCCTGCACAGAGATCCCCATGATCCTTCACATTTTGTTATCCTCAAAGTCATCCAGAACGGTCATAATTAGTCAATGATTTCTGGGAATTTAGTAAATAGTTTCTGGAATTTAGTGAATGGTGTCTGAGAATTTAGTAAATAGTTTCTGGGATTTAGTGAATGGTTTCTGAGAATTTAGTAAATAGTTTCTGGGATTTAGTAAATGGTTTCTGCTCAAAACAGAGAACCTCATATAAAGAGGCCAACGCCCCCCCTAAGTGATTATCACTTAAAAACATCACCAAAGAAGTAAAGTAGATCGCTTACAATAAAACTTATGGTAATCTTTATCATTCGTCTCTCCAGTGAATGGAAATAAATGGAATGCTGTGGATGTTTGCCGCAGCCTTGTTGAGGTGGCACATCAACTGCCTCCTCTTGATGGGGTCAGAGAAAAGGATTTTACTCTATTGTATTTTTTCTGCAACATAGCTATAGAAAATATTGGAACATCATGTTCAAGAGGTGAATGGGCCAATTTGTATGTTCAATTACCAGATGATATTAGTTTATCAACAAGCCTCAGACACTCCATGACTTTGGATGAAGGTCAATCAGACCCATTGTTCACTGAGTCAGGTGTACCATACACGTTGCAAAGTTGTTGAAAATCATTGTGGTTTCGGGACAATCCCAAATCTGTAACGTTCATTAAGATTAAATCCCAAGTTTGAATGGAAACAAATCCCCGCTTTTATGGTTGAAATCCCAACTTTTGTTGATTAAATCATATTAAATTATCATTGTTCATGGTTACATCACCATTTTGGAAAATGGACACTTCCCCATTTCCCCCCTTTAAGATCCCCAAAAAAAGTGAGGTCTCAAAGCCAGTTAGTTCTTTTTTTTGCCTGAGAGGCTCGGATCTTTTGCGCTTCTCAAAGGGCCCAAGGCGAGTCGTTGATGGGCCATCATGGAGGCTTCCTAAAGTGGGGATACCCCAAAATCATCCAAAATCCCCAATAGCTGGTTCATCATAGAAAATCCCAATCTAAAATGAATGATTTAGGGGTACCATGGGGTACCCCTATTTTAGGACACCTCCATATAATGATGTGTATGTGTTGCGTAGATATGTGTGGACTTGCAGGAGGTTAATAGGGTGTGTATATACCTGTACAGCATAAACATCCCGGCAGGGGGATATTCGCGCTCACGAAATGAGCAGTTTTATTTTAAAAAGATCATTTCACCACAGTGCCAGCTAATTTTTCTCAGTGTTGATTTCACACGTTGTTGGGATCCAATGTTCGGGTGTTTCTTTGGTTTCGCCTGTGAATTCACAGGTTATTTTGCATTTCAAAAAAAAAAATATGAGGGATAAGAATTGTCACCTTCGTTTGCGAACTTCTTTTTGCCTCTCAGATGTTCGCTGCGTCATGCACTGCCTTGCCAGTGACACTTATTAAGTCTTCACCCGTATTCTCCCATCTCCAAGCATATGTTTCATGAAAGTGTTCAGAGCGTAGCATCAAGAGCGTGCTAGATGTTACATGAAAGTGTTCAGAGGGTAGCATCAAGAGTGTGTTCCGCAAGCTCATAGAAGCTTATTAGGCCCCCCCCTGTGCGAGCATGAGAGATATCCAGAAACGTCAAAAACGCTAGCGCGGTTTTTCTCCGCTGGGCAGAAACATACGTATTATTCTTTTTTTTTTTATTTATTTATTTATTTATGTACGTATTTATTTATTTATTTAAATTTATTTATTTATTTATTTATATTTATTTATATATTTATTGGTTTATTTAGTTATATTAGTTATTTATATATAATATATAAATATGATGTGATGATATGTATACATAGTGCCACATGTATAATTATCATACATGTGCCATATGAGATTGTAGTGGGACCCACGGTTTGCTCATCATGAGATTTCCCGCGCTGTGTGGCTGATGACGTGAGGCCTTTTTGACAGGCATGGCGAGAAAGGAACAGTTGCCCTTTTCGGTGGCTTACGGAGTAGGGCTTGTACCGGTCTCAGCAACATGGAAGATCATGGAACATCATGGAAGTAGTAGTCCTGCAAAATATCTCACAAAGACTAACCAACCAACAAGAATTGCTGGTCAATCATGTTAACCCCTCCATTTATCCGGGTGAAATATCCATACCTTTTAAGAAAGAAGGATGTGATCCTGGTTGCCAAAATTGGAAGATGTGAACATGTTCAAAAATTCCCTACATTTTCGGGTAAATTGACCAAGGGTTTGAAAGTTTCCGGTTTCAATTTTACGAAAAGAATCCATTCACCTGTGCTATGACCGTGCCAACTAACCATCCAAAGTCCCCATTGATGTTTAAAATTCCAATCTTTGTTTCTAAAACAACCTGTATTAACATGATATCGAGTTTTCTTCATGTTTAATCTCATCATCCCAAGTAACTAACATGTGTCAATGTTTCACATAGTTTCCATCATCCCAGGATAACCAACTCATCCCAGGTTGGGACCTTGATCTCCACCATCATCCTCCGGAGTTTTCTACTCACCGGGATTTGCGGGCTGTTGCAGGTGCCCCCGATCCGAGTCCTGGACGGGCCGATTCTTCTAAAGTGGCTATATGTGAACTTGGAAACAAAAATGGTGGTTGGATGATGTTGGATGTTCTGGTTGGTGGTTTGGAACATGTTTTTAAAAAATCCATCATATATGGGATGTCATCCTTCCCATTGACGAAGTCAGATGTTTCAAGATGGGCACATTGCACCACCAACCAGTGTTTCAATCCCAGGTTGAGAACATCATTTTGTCGGCATGTTTTGATGACAATTTCTTGGGCGTTTGTTCAGATGTTTGGCAGTTTGGAGACCAAGATGATGTTTTTACGATCTACCCTCTGGTAAACGTTTACATATAGCTATATATATATGGAAAATCACCATCTTTAATAGGTAAATCAACTACAAATGGGCAACTTTCAGTAGTTATGTTAGTCATTACCAGAGTGTAAATATCTGAACACATCGTCCCATGGTGCCCCTGAAAGCGCCCTCCAAGAAGATTCATGCATGGATGGTACAACAGCTCAACCAAATCAATCCAAATCCACCTTTATAGGTTCGATCCTCATATAAATTCATATTAAATACATCCCATTTCAACATATTTCAACAGAATGTCAAACGTTCATTGAGGTTTTCTGTAGTCTCAGAAATGCAGGCAGTCGGCCTCCTGTACTTTGTGGCATCCTATGTGCCCGGTGGGAAGGCGGCTGGACATCGATGGGACTAGAGGCATTTCGCTTGGTGATTTCAAACATCTATCTATTCTTGTTCAATGTTGTTTAACCATACCCTGGATGATGGGATGATAAGTTGTGCTGACCCAGATTTTTAGGGGCTACAACCATCAAGCTGATAATTATTTGAGTGAAGCCATCAAAAATTTCGTTGGTGATTGCAGCAAGACCAAGTTTGGGACATAGAACGGGTACTGTAGCGATGAGTCCTTGCGCCATCATACCGCCAATGTGCTCCAGTGGTGATAACGATGATGACAACGATGGCGCAGATGATTATGTCGGCTATATATGTTTGTTTGAAACTAGCGTATCCCTAAACCTTCGGTTAATCATATGTCGTTTTCCTATTCAATGGCTATCATTGAGAGGTATACATCCATACTTTTGTCCGAAAATGCACAGGCCTGCGTGACATGTGTGGGGAGGACGCTGGAGAGCTTAGCTTGTTTCGGGTGGTGATACAACCTGGTGATCTGTGATTCCGACAATGAACAAATTTTGACGATGGGGTCATGGTCACCTTTCATCACCTTTCATCACCTTTCCAATATTTCGATGTTTTATGATGTTTTATGATGTTTTATGACGTTTTGATGTTTTGTTTTGACTTTCAGCAACTTCCGCCTCTTAACTACTTGGTAAGATTTTTCGTGAACCTGGTTGCTTCAGAGCCACCAAGTTTGCGGAATACCACACAATTGCCATTGAAATTGGAAGACATCTCAGAATCTTGGGGGTTCCCGATTTTGCCACAAGGCCATAATATGGTGTATTTCTTTGCTTGTTTATATAATTCACAGTAATTATCCATTATATGTATGTATGTATATATATATATCTTCACGAGCTTTGGTTGTACCCTCATACTTTGTTTTGACATATACTTTTTTTGCTGTTGGTCGTATCCCCTTTGGTGGCTGCGTCCTTTGGTTTCTGTTCCATTTTCACTTTGGTGGTTACGCAATTTCTGTTGATTTTATCTGCACTTGTCGGTGATGTCATTTCTGCTGGTTTTATCCCCACTTTTTATTTTTACATGATCTCGTTTGGTCCCATCTCGCCTTGTGTTGGTTATTTATTTGCTATCTCCGGTTTTGTTTTTTACAGAATGTTTGTCTCGTCTTCCCCGCTGTTGGTAATGTAATGTTTATCTTTTTTATGTAATTTTATAATATATATATATAGAGAGATAGATAGATATCTCCAACTTTTGTTGGTGGCATCATGTTTCATATCATTTCAGATGTGTAATCCAGCATTATGCATCACAAGTAGGAGCTAATTTGAGATATTCCAGTTGTCTCCAAGGGGGTTCGTGTTTTTTTTCTACCCAGTGAGATATAGATGAGATATAGATTAGATATAGCCCAGCTATGGCCAGTGTGGAAATCCGTGCCATTCCTGCAGCCCGAGGTGCAGCAAAGCGGCCACTGCTTTGGCCTCGGCCGTGTTGTGCAGGCGTTGAGGCCGGAGATTGTGCCAGGGAAGATCCTGGAGATGGGAAACTACCCAGCCACGTTTGATGACCGGAGGGTATAGAATGTTATATTTAGTGTTATAAGATGTTATAAGTAATTTAACTTACTGGATCTTACTGCTAACTGTTTGTTCCTTAAAGCAATTTCTGCAATGCTTGGGTGATGGAAGACTTGCACGACTTCTTTCCATCGGTTGGGGGGATGGCAACTATGAAAGCGTGGGGGGTTGAAAGATTCGAGCAACAGAAGTGGGGATGCAACCACAAATCAAATCATCACGTTTTCACCAGCAAAACCCGGGGGATAGAACACAGATCAATTCAACAGTGATTGGCCTAAGGAATGCCTTGCAGATCATTAAACATTGATATAGAAAATTCCTCTGTCTATGCCATCTATGCATCATCTTCCTGTTTCTATACACAAAATGGGTAACTATCCGTTGGCAGATTAGATTGTGGGAGTGCAAACATGTTGTTGTTTTCTTTCCGTGGGCCCTTACAGAAATACAAAAACATCATGGGATGAGTAATCGCCATGGAGATGTGAAAAAGGAAAGCACGTTTGGAGGACAGTTCCTACTCCAACCTACGGGGCTGCCCTGTTGGCTCAAGCGGTCCGTTGTTTCTGCTCGTTCTGTTTTTTTGCCACGCAGTGTCCGTTTCTCGGGGGCCGCAGTGCCGTTTGGGCATGCAGCTAAGTACCCCTTTGCTGAAACGAAAGACCTATGCAGCTCGTCGGTCAGACCAGAAACGACCTCACCTTCCCACAGCATCAATCGCGGTCAGTAGGGGAATCCCAAGATTGGTGACTGTTTCCAGGTTAGGAATGATTATGAGTCATGACTGGTTCGGATAATCCTTTCTGGGATGGACATCTGAGAATGGGACCAGATGTCCAATATGGAATGTGGAACCAGTACCATGTTCATTTATATATATATATACAGTAAGCTCTGATTGGCTCATGTTTTTAAAAAAGTTGATGATAATTTTAGCGACCCATTTGCTTGGCCCAAAAGTCCTCGTCTTTGGTATTGGGCCTCTGGTGTTGCCAGTGCTTTTTTGATCTACTAAGTGGTGAAAAGTCATCTAGACAGTTGGGATTCGTTTATCCATTCATTCAGCATTTGTCGTGTTTCTATGTGTGTATTGTGTTTCGTATTGAGTGACTCAGTTGGACAGTCAGTCATTTGTTGATTCGCCAATCACAAGAGGTACTTGAATCACTTTATGAGGATATGTGTTTGCATATTTTTGCATATGTCCAATGACCACATGCATTCATTGATGTTGACTTCCTATCTGGGAAGTTAGTTTAACATAGTTTAACTAACTTTCCCAGGACTACAGCTGTCACCGGAACATGTTGTGGCACCAGATTGTGGACTTTATCAATTTTATGAGTGAACTTGGCCAACCATCCCCTGCTGCTGATGGTATACCCAAACCCTTGGCGAATCCCGGCCGCTTGGGAATCTCTGCTGTTCGGAGAACTTCAAGGTATGTGAGAAGTGACTGGTGAACCTGGTGAACCCCTGCTGTTCAGAGGTTTCATTGCCTCATTTTTGCCACATTCCCGCCTTTCACCAACGTCTCTGGGTCCTGAGAAACTCAGGTGAACGGTTGGCATCGACCAGCCCTTCGTGGTGTCTTGCATGGGATTGTTGCGTTGGCGTCGCTTGGTGTACTGTTTCTTTTGGCCTCCAGAGATGGGAGGCTGTGGTTTGTTGGGACCCCTGAAATTCTTGGTGGTATCCAACAATATCCTAAAGCTTGGTGGGTTTGGTTGCTGTTTACCTTCCCCAATAGCTCCATAATGTTGCTGGGTAGCAGCTTGCCGATGGAGTTTCAGGATATCTGCGGTTGTTTCTCAACGAGTTATGATCCCTCGACCCACCAAAAATTCCATTGGCGCCAGGACGAGTAGGCTGCGGTTAAGGGATTAGTGATGGTCATCCCCAGAATCGAGACCAATTGTCTTCAGCATCTCGATGCATCAACTGGCTCCATTGCCATGAGGCTTTTCGTCCTTTTTCTCGGCTATGGCTTTGCCATCCTCATTGGACTGCTACCCAAACTCTGGCTGCGCTTTACAGCGTTGTTGGGTGCGAAACTGCTGAGTCTTTCGGTCGACTAAATGGGGCGTCGATTTGGTGAAAAGTTAAGTTCCCTTCCAGTTCCATCCAATTTGGGTAAACCAAATAATCCAACTACAGTATTTAACCATCCTATTACCAAAAATGGGCATCAACCATCCCCAGTTTGGGTAGCTTTGGGCAGGTTTATGGTTTATTGATGTTTATGGAAAAAAACGCATTACGAAGCTGTGACAGTTTGAGGCTACTTCTGTAGCGCGGTGTTACATCTCTATCCGCACCCATCAATGGAGAGCTTCAACTTTTGGCTTCGAATGGATCTGGTGGGCATTTCTTTCGCCGTCTGGGCGCCCACAGCCGTGTTCTTGGAGGATGTGGCTTGGTGAGCCATTCCATGGAGGCTTGCGGCTGCTAAAAACATGTAGCTCCCAGAATGAATCGATCTTAAACTGCCCCTTTCGGTACAGCAGTTTTGTTGGCTGTATCAAGTTGTTTCACTCTTTGGACATTGATGCTGGAGCTAGCCAACCGTCACGATAGGTTTTGGAACCCGCTTCCTCAAATTTGCTCAATGAGTGGTGGCAGGCGGATTTTTTTTGGATTTTTTTGATATGGATTACAGTAGTCATGGCTCAATTTATCGTGAGCCGCCTAGATTCTGATGGCAAAATGACCTATCTAGTCGCATGACCCAATGGCTCTGGCTTTCCGGAGAATCAGCAGAGTTTCCCACGGACCAGCAGCTGATGGATGTAGAGAGCAAAACGCTGCCCCTTCCACTGGCAATATGGCAGGAACTTAGTGTAGTCCCATATAATATATAATATAAACTAATATAATACATGTGATAATATGTTTTTCATCTATCTATCTATCTATCTGTCTGTCTGTCTATCTATCTATCTAATCTAATCTAATCTAATCTAATCTAACCTAACCTAACCTAACCTAATCTAATCTAATCTAATCTAATCTAATCTAATCTAATCTAATCTAATCTTATCTATCTATCTATCTATCTATCTATCTATCTATCTATCTATATATACACATATGTGTGGCATGATATGGTCAGTAAACATCCTTAAGCCTCAGAAGCCCATAAAGGAGCCCGTCGATTTTAGTGGGAGAATCAGCCAAGAGACTTGAATGCCCTTCAACTCAGCAGTTGGGTTTGTCAATTTCTTCTGGTTGACCATCTTTTGCCATTTTGAGTATGATCTAGTATATGATAGTATATGATCTAGTTAATTATGTCATCCCATCAAATATCCCCAAATGATATCTCCATATTTCATTCCCACTGTATCCCAATTGTGGTTCTGAACCAACCAAGGCCCGCCTCTGGTTGCTGCAATTCGCTGGCGTTCTGGCAGTGGCCGACTGGACACATGTCTTGGTGGACAATGGCTTGGCGAAAGCGGATGAATCGGATTTGAAGAAATTGGATAGGTGCGCCAGATTGCTTCGCCAGATAGTGAGATATATGCTGAACCTAAAATCATGGGGGATCCCGGATCCCCTTTGGTCACCATGATTGTTTCAATTCTGTTATAATATAATATAATATATATATACATATAGTAACTCATGGTATAAGGACTTGGCTGATTTGGGGGACCCGCAGTTTAGGAAAGCTCCATTTGTGGTTGAAAGATGTTGAAAGACTTCTTTCCTCTAAAATTGCTGATTAGTTGGGGTCTATGTTAGTGGTTTGTGATGGCTTGTCAGGTACAAGCAGTCACCATTTTCTCAAATTGTCACTTTGGGGTATACGCCATTTTTGGATCATGTTTTTTTTGAGCTCCCCTTGCAATTCCATCCCATGCAGGATTGGAAATCAATTGATCGGAGTATTTGACAATTTGGGGCCTGCACATCAAAGGGTAGTTAAGTTGACAAGGCTGATTTTTTTCTGCCAGGGGATTTGGGGAGATCATGATGATCATGACTCCCAGCTGCCAAATTGACTTAGGATTCACTGCCGGCTTCGTTGACCCCCTGAAATCTAATCGCATTTTCCCAGCGCAGGAAGCGATCTTTGAGGACTGTGATCAACAGCCTGTTCTTCGTGTGGTGCTTACTTTTCTGTGGCATGGGATACAGTTCCTTGGCCCCCGGATGGACAACTTGGGACATCTTAGGACCATTGAAACTGTCTGGCCGCTGTTTGACGTGGTTTCGCAGCGTCATCTCCGGTGGAGCCGCCGTTGTCCCTGCCAGGTTTCCAGCCACTTTGGATCATTGGAGCTCTGACTTATTCCCTCGGATTCTTTCTGGCACCCCCCTTCTCTCGCAGCTTACCTAACGAAGGGGGGTGGGAGCAAGTTGGGTCCCAAAATCTGGAACATGGATTCTTGGTTCGGGCCAAAGTTACTGATTGAGATCTGAAGAATTTAGAATAGTTACTGGTCACCTTTACTATACTTGAAATTGAATGGATGTCTTGTCCTTTCATATCCTTTCATTCTTTTGTCAATTTTCTCCCAGGTTTGCCTATAAATTTTGACCGGAAGAATCCCCACTCATCATCCCAGGCCGCTATTCTCAGATGCCCTGGCATGTCTCGGGCGTCAACGGATGGCATGAAGACTTTCATCTGGTAGTGGCCTGTGGCGACTTAGCCTTTTGCATGATGGCCTATGATGCTGGGACGTGATGACACGGTTGATGTCTCAAGCTTTTTGTTGGGTTGCGAGGGAGATGGCAAGTGAAAATACGGATGGATATATACATATATATATATACACGTATATATATATACATAATATGTATATATATATATATCATTATATATAATTATATATATACACACCACTTTTTGTTCCTATAATATATATATATATATATACATATGCACACGGATGGATGCGTTTGAAAAGGTAGATATGATGCATTTGCTTTTGCGTATACATACCTTTCATCTCAAGCACATGGAATATATAGTCATAGATGCTCAACCATTTTGGTCTGCCCAGATCTGTAGTAACATGTGCAAACAGTAGATGTTAGCAAGCTCCAGTGTATACATTTTAGTACGACCGACTTCATACGCAATAGCTTGTGGAATCCTGCATAGATATGAACAAAAAGAAGAAATAGTATCAACCAGTGACAGAACACCAGGTATTGAGGCTGCACCTTGTCGTTGCACGTACTGTATATATATATATAAGATCGAACAAACTCAAAACACATATGAGGGGCTTAGCCCATACCTATTCTGCCCTACCACCCTTTCCTTTTGTAACTTGAATTAAGGATGTGGTGCTTGCAGCCCAGTGATGCTATCATTCCAAGTTGCCGTGACCGAGACCTTTTCAGCATCCCGGTCCGACTGATTTGGGACTAGAGCAGAGACCCACACAAAGTGGGTTCCTGTGCAGTGGCAGAGACTTCGAAAAATGCTTTGGTTTCGAATTGGGGCTAAACGAATCACCAGAATTGATCGAAACACAGTTGGGACCGCTCTTTTTTTGGGGGTTCTCAGCTCAGTTCACTGTATTGACTTTGAATGACACTGTGACTAGCAAGCACATAGGTCTATCATATGCCTTGCTGGTGCTTTGTACTCCAACATCCATTTGTGTTTGTTAATTGCGGAAACATACCAAGCTACCATTTCTCAGCCGGGGAAATGCCAGAGGCATGTACGATAGTTTATACATGTATGCAAATAAATGTATATAATATATATATATATATGTGTGTGTGTGTTTGTACTAATATATAGCACACACTATAAAACCCACTAAAATAACTAAACAATCAACTAAAGCCCACTCTAAAAACAGATATGCACACTGCACACACATATTATATATATACAGCCTATATGTAAATATATTGTATAGACATGTATGCATGCTCATTATATATATATATATGCATATGCATATACATAACATACATAACTACATACATACATACATACATACATACATACATACATACATACATACATACATACATACATACATACATACATACATACATACATACGTACGTATAGGCAGACCGACCGGCCGACAGACAGACAGACAGACACACATCTTTACGTATATACGTATCTACATACAACGAACATTTAGGCATCAACTCCTACTAACCATTACCATCGATGGAATGGGGTTAGCTTCCCGGCTTCTGTCACTTCACATTGGTTGGAAGTGTATTTTCTGATCATCTTCAAGCACAAATGCCCACCGTTGTATCGACAGACCCATGATGACCAGATGTCAGCTTGAGGATGGTCCCTAAGAGACTTGCCTTGAGGGTCTTGCAATGCCAGGATTTTTTCCCCCAAGATGAGCCTAAAAAAGCAGCCCGGGCTGTCATTGGCACGTTTGCATTGACAGGTTGACATATCAGATGATAATGAAGTAACTGAATATATGTGTGAGCAGTTTTCGACCAAAACATTGTTTCACCAATGGCCAAGTTGTAGTGTTCTACATCAGTTGAGGCACTGGGTATTCACCTTGACAGGGCCTTGCAGATCATTGGTGTTGGAGGCACCCATATGATATCGGCATATATCGGCTATCGCCATTTCATGAGGCTTAAAGCATACAAAGCCACCATGTTTGATACTTAAACCTACATTTTTTGAAAATTCCATTGCCATGACAGCCCATGAAGCTTCAGCTCTCAACCCCCGTCCTGGGGGGTCGCTGATGCCAAGCTCACCCGCTGAGCTCAGCGACTTATCATTTGAAATGCGATCCGCACAGAAACTTCCCACTTGGCTTCGACCAAAAGGTGTGCGCTGTGCTTGTGGAAGTTAATTACGGGAAAAAGGATTGGTGTTTTGTTTCGAGGCTCAACTGTGGTGCCGGAGTAATGCAAACAACAGAAGCAATGCATTTGTGATCGTATATTCAGTCTGAACTTCAAAGGCCAACATCGGCTAAGCAAGCCAGCCTTTTATCATTTTGTCATCACAGGCTAAACTAGGTCATGTCCTTTTCCCATTGGTTGGTTGATTAATAGAGAGGTTTGTTTACCCCTTTAACAACAGGTAAATGATGATAGATGGTATACGAGACTAGGTCATGTGGAGGTCTCCTAAAATAGGGCTACCCCTAGTTATCATCCAAGTCATTGCACCATGATTCAGCATTGTTCTGGACGGTGATCCCCCCGAAAAGATTGTTTTCATCGGTTTTATAAGTCCCCCAGAGATCCGCCAGGTCCTGAGCCTGAATAAATTGACGCATTGTAACTGAATCAAATAAATATATATATATATAATATATAATATAATATATAATATATAATACATGATATATAATATATAATATATAATATATAATATATAATATATAATATATTTAATATATAATATATAATATATTTAATATATAATATATCATATATCATATATTATCGGAATATATTTAATATATTATATATAATATATAATATATAATATAAAATATATTATATATCATATATAATATATAACATATAATATTTCATATATTATCGGATATATTTAATATATAATATATAATATATAATATATAATATATAATGAATAAAGTATAATATAAGATATATAATATATAATATATAATTTATTATATATAATATATAATATATAATATAATATATAATATATATTATATAATATATAATATTTATAATATTTCATATTATTATCGGAATATGTTTAATATATAATATATAATATATAATATAAAATATATAATATATAAAATATAATATCTATTTGCCTATCTATCTATCTATCGATCTATCAATCTATCTATCCATCTATCTATCTATCTATCTATCTCTCTTTCTCTCTATCTCTCTATCTCTCTATCTCTCTATCTCTCTATCTCTCTATCTCTCTATCTCTCTATCTCTGTATCCCTCTATTTCTCTATCTATCTGTCTGTCTGTCTGTCTATCTATCTATCTATCTATCTATCTAACCTATCTAATCTATCTAATCTATCTAATCTATCTAATCTATCTAATCTATCCAATCTATCTATCTATCTTAATCTAATCTAATCTATTCTAATCGAATCAAATCGAATCTAATCTAATCTTAATCGAATCTAATCTAATCTAGAGGTGTCACTCAAAACGTTTTTTCTTCATGATGGCTGCAGATCATTCACACATGGACCACAGGATTTTCCTGCCAACCCCAAGATGGACTCCTAATCTAATCTAATCTAATCTAATCTTACCATTTACTAATTATTCCCCACATTGACGTGTGGGGTTTTTGTTTTTAGTTTTGTATCCGCTCCTCGTCCTCCTTCCCGTCCTCCCTCCTCACTCACACACACTCACTCACTCACACACGCACACACACCCTCACTCACTCACACTCACACACTCACTCACTCACACACGCACACACACCCTCACTCACTCACACTCACACACTCACTCACTCACACTCACTCACTCACTCTCACTCACTCACACTCACTCACACTTACTCACACACACACACACTCACTCACTCTCACTCACTCACTCACACTCACTCACTCTCACTCACTTACTCACTCACACTCACTCACTCACACACACACACTCACTTACACACACACACACACTCACTCACTCTCACTCACTCTCACTCACTCACACACACACACTCACTCACTCTCACTCACTCTCACTCACTCACACTCACTCACTTACTCACTCACTCTCACTTACTCACTCACACTCACTCACTCACACACACACACTCACTCACTTTTACTCACTCACTCACACACACAGACACTTACTCACTCCTCCGCGTCTTTTGCACTCACTCACTCCCTCCCTCCCTCACTCACTCACTCACTTACTCACTCACTCACTTGGGCTCCGCTGCTTTTGCGTGGCAGGCGTGGGACAATGTGCACTGCCAAGGGGTCGGATGTACGCCCTGGCGTCCCTCGGGCTCGGCCTTTTTTGCGCGGCAGGCGTGGGACAATGTGCACTGTTAAGGGGTCGGATGTACGCCCTGGCGTCCCTCGGGCTCCGCCTCTTTTGCGTGGCAGGCGTGGGACAATGTGCATTGCTAAGGGGTCGGATACACGCCCTGGCGTCCCTCGGGCTCCGCCTCTTTTGCGTGACAGGCGTGGGACAATGTGCACTGCCAAGGCCTCGGATGTACGCCCTGGCGTCCCTCGGGCTCCGCCTCTTTTGCGTGGCAGGCGTGTGACAATGTGCACTGCCAAGGGGTCGGATGTACGCCCTGGCGTCCCTCGGGCTCCGCCTCTTTTGTGGGGCAGGCGTGGGACAATGTACGCTGCCAAGGGGTCGGATGTACGCCCTGGCGTCCCTCGGGCTCCGCCTCTTTTGCGTGGCAGGCGTGTGACAATGTGCACTGCCAAGGGGTCGGATGTACGCCATGGCGTCCCTCGGGCTCCGCCTCTTTTGTGTGGCAGGCGTGGGACAATGTGCATTGCTGGTGGCTTTTGTGTGGCAGGTGTGGCACGCACTCACATCACTCAATCACTCATTCACTCACTCACTCACTAACACATTTACACACACTCACTCACTCACTCACCCACTCACCCACTCACCCATTTACCCACTCACCCACTCACCCACTCACCCACTCACGCACTCACCCACTCACCCACTCACCCACTCACCCACTCACCCACTCACCCACTCACCCACTCACCCACTCACCCACTTACCAACTCACCTACTTACCCACTCACCCACTCACCCACTTACCCACTTACCCACTCACCTTTACTCACCCACCTCACTCACACCATCATGTTTCCTGTTTCCTGGATGTCTCGCCAAGTTAGCTTTAGCGGAAATGGCCAGAAAACCAACGTTTTATCGGATTTCAAGGTGAGACTGAATTACCTCCGGCATCTGCGGATCGTATCGAGGAACAGGGAGTTTATTGAAAATTCTCCCATCCCTCTTCGTTGGTTCAACCAAATATCCTCCAAATTAGCGCTCGTAACAATCCAATCGATACGTTTCCTAAGGCACAAAAGCGCATGATGTATGTAAGACTAGAAATTCAGAGCTGGGTCTTGTGAAATGATAACTCATATGTAGATCCTAAGAGTGCCATAGTTCTTTTAACAGGTATGTAAACCACCGACAGCGTACCTTGAATGAAATGCCCCTCAGGCTACTCAATGGCCGATCTCTTGGGTCTGTCCAACCATTGCAGTGAAGAGGACCACCCTCACCATGGTACAACATGTAATCTGCATAGAGTTGGTAAAACGAAATCCACTTGGCCGATTTAAATGTCTGATAAATGCCTTCTAAAAACTACCTCGCCACACTCAATACCATTCGCTGTCTATACTTTGCACATAGCTTCTGGTCAACCCATGTCACCTCCGGAATAGCAACCCACTCGGGCTGCATGGGACTGGGTCGCTCAGAAATTGTCTGTTGCAGCTCCATCCCCTCAGGGGCTGCGTCAACTGCCCGTTGGTAAAAGACCACATCTCGACTGATTCGAAACATTACCTGTCGAACCTGGTTAGTGACGTATCTAGCATGTTTAAATTCCGTTTGGAAGCGCTCATGAACAGCCCAGAACTGATGTGGGCGGAGGAGGTGGGCAACCTTCGTCGCATGATTAACTAGGCTATTATGCAAAAAACACCACTGATGAAAACCAGAAATCCAATCTGTGTGATTTTGATATACAGCAACCTTGGTGATTACCACGTTGTTGGCACCCATTCCTTCCAGCAGCATGGCAATTTCCCCCCAAAGATCAGCATGTTTCCCATTGGGTTTCACCCACCAAGTCCGTTGAAGGAGGGCACGAACTCGGGTCACTACTCCATTGCAATCACTCCATATACGAACTGGCTTGGCTGTTTTGTGGGCGATTCGGATTGCATTAAGCACTGCCCGAACTTCCGCTCGAAACGCAGACTGCATAACACCTGCCAAGGGACTGACAGCCAAAACCACCGATGCACTCTCATCAGCAAGGTCACAGGAGCAGGCTTGGGTGACCGCCCAGCTGGCCAATCGCCATGGCTGGGTGGGAAAATGACAGGATCCATCTATAAACAAGTCAATCCGCCCATCAGCAGTGGGCCGGAGCAGAGACAGATCAGCAGGGGTCTCGGCCACCTCCAAAAGCTTTCTGTAATACTCCATCCAGGAAGCGGGTCTCAACCCCCAGCCATAACATGTCAGGTATTCAGGCAAATGTGGAATCTGAGCCCAGACAACTGGGTCAAGATGTCGGCGATGGTGTTTTAATACCTCACACTGCCAAAAGCGATGATACCTTGAATCGCTACAGGGACAAAATTGGTAAACGTCATCCCCTGGTAAAATTGGCAAACGTCATCCCCTGGTGTTTGCCAGTGTTGAGCAGCTTCATTTGTGAAGTGGGCACCATTTAACATTTTCCTACCCAGGCCAGCATCTTCAGCTGTGAGGGAACGGAGCCACTGGCGGGTTCCATGCATGTCTGCTTGCTGCAAATCTGCAAATCCACTTCTGTGTGTCAGCTGCTGGGAAACCACTGCTTGCCAAGAAATTTGGGCACGCCAGTCAATCTCAGGTAGGTTGGTGGTAAAAAGACAAAAGGATCCAAGGGAATCTTTAACTCGACCATCAGGACGGACGGACCATCCAAGGCATTGCAACCGTGTCAGCAAGGTTTGAGTAATGGTGTTGGCAGGCAACTCAGAACACCCAAACGCCAATTGAGTCAGGACAGGCTGGATAAAGTCCAGAGCAGCACAGTCCCTCACGCAACGGATAGATTGCATAACCGACCAAAACAGGGGGTCACACACTGGATGTTCGATCATACCAAGCTGGACCCACGGGCTGCAGCCAGCTCCATCGGCTTGGATACCTCGCATCGCACCAGCTCGAAGGCGTCGGAAAAGGTGGGAGCCTAGGCCAGTACTCGCTATACCATGCAAACCCCTCGGCCATGCTGCAATTACCAGGGCTCGAGTTTTCATAGGATATAGGCAAGGTGAAAGCCGGAGGCGATCCCACAAATTATGAAGCTCATGGACCCGTGTTTGCAAGGTCTGGTTGGTGTACTGCATGGTTAACTGCAGGTGAGCTCCCAAGTTCCGTCCTCCATGGGTAATTCACACCACTCATTCACCCACCCACCCACTCACTCACTCACTCACTTACTTACTTATTCATTCACTCACCTGTACATACGCATACATACACACATACACAAAAACTTACCCACTATTACCCCTCTATCACTCTTATACTTCCTCTTCCCTTCTTGCTTTTCTATGCTTAGTCTAA